ATAAATAACTAATTTATTACAAATGTTATAATAATTGTTTGAATATGTCATGTTTATTTTGTTTATATTGAAATTTTCTTGATACTCTTTATCCACATTAAAAATTACAGAACTATCTTCTTACATTTTATATTATTTTCGGAATTTAATTGGAAATACATACTGCGAGTTATATAGATCAAATATTATATGATTCGCAGGAACAATCCCTTTAATCGATATAAAAAAAAATTATATGAAAAGAAATCAGATTTTGACAATTTATTTAAAATAATTCATATGCTTCTCATTTATATAAAATTTACTCGAAGAACGGGGTCTGATATATGAGAGTATTGAAGATTTTAATACAAATACTTTAAATGTACTTGTATAATTGAGTAAAATATGAAAATTCAAATGAATTGATTAATCGTATTAATATATAGAGTGTATAATTATTTAGATTAATAATAATATTTCACTGATATTTTTAATTTTTTAAACAGTTCCATTTATTACCATGAAATTGTTATTCTCTCTTTTTCTCTCTTTCACTCTTTCACTCTCACTTTCTCTCTCTTTCTCTTTCTCTTTCTCTTTCTTTCGCTTTTTCTTTCTTTTTATAATACATACTGCATGTTATTTTTCACTCTGTTATACATTATCGATTTGTCATACTAACAGTATTTATGATGTTGCTATTATTTCTATATTGTTTTAAAAAACAAATCGATACATTTTGCTCAAACTATAACGAAACATATTACTGTTAAACCCATTACACAAAAGTTCTAATTTAGATGCAATTTTAATACAAATTCATAACTTAAAATTTCATTAAAAAATATCCTTCACAATTCTAACATTTTGATTACAATGGTCCAAATTAATACATAAGATTTCCAACTTGTTGTTCAATTATATGTTGCATTTCATAAAGCATACCTATTACGTTATCTGATGATATTCTTCTTTTTGTAGATCATGCCAATTGCTATTTCTTATGTGCTCATTTTCTAGTATTTAATTACTCAATTCAAACTAATGGAAGTGTTTCAGGGACAAGGTCTCTCTCTCTCTTTCTCTATCTCTATTTCTACAAATTTATCCAGTATCCCTGATAAGAAGGAACACGTAGTAAATGTGCATGTATTAATTAATTTGTAAATATTATACTACATATTATTGTCTTCAATATATTTGGAAGCAAATGTTTCAAATGATAAAGGTTTGTATTATATTTATCTAGAAGTAGTAGATTTTTTAATTGCTTGTGATTATTTCTCTTCGTATGTAGACATATTAATGTTTAAATAAAGATATTTATGTTTATATGAAAATATTTTAGTATACGATTCTCCCATATTTGATGTATAGTACCCATGTAAATTTTATATCTATAAAATAATTTTTTAATTGAAATTTTTTTGTTTGCATAAAATCCCAAGAACACTAATGTTTGCTTTTACGTTATAAATACATACAGGCATAATTCTTCATCGATTTTGATGAACGAGGACTTATTTGAAAGATGAAGATTCAAGCAAAAAAACGGTCAATATGAATTTATAAAAAAGTTTCATTTTCTGTGAAGAAAATTACTTCCAAAAATGCTACTTTATTTTGATGCATAAACTATTATCAAAAAACCAAAATTTTGGAACAATTTTTATCACTGAAAATAATGTGTTTTTATTAATTCGAACCAATCATTTGCTCGCCTGAACTTTCATCTTTCAAATGGAATATTGTTTTTCAAAATTGGTTGAAAATTATGTATGGTATCATTAATGGTGTAAACGCTGTTTTCAACATTTTTTGTGAAAAATTAGCTTGATACAGTGGCGCCCTTTAAAATCTATGGTAAAGGAGAGAACTCTTATCCACGTTACTGATTTTTATATACACGTTGAGTGGAGTTTTTCATTCTCTTGAATTAGTTGGTTACATACATGTATGTTTATTTATTATTATAAATTTATAAATTACATTTTTTTTAGTTTCTAATTAAATCTTAGAAAATATGTAGTTCTCTTTTTTAGGTTAGGAAGATTGTAGTCTTATAAAATTCAGTTGATTTTTCTTTTTATATACATCAATATAAATAAACATATTCAACCAATTGAAAATTAATCTTTCTGCAGTTACGTTTAAATTCTAATGAAAATTTTCAAATTCAAAATCTAATTTAAAAATGGGTGTAGAAAAATTAAGTAATTTCAGAAATAAATGATACATGCAAAAAAAGTTTATTTGTGCATAGACATGTTATCACTTGATTTTAGCATGGTAAACAATGTAAGTTTAATAAAACACTTATAATATAATATATATATATATAAATATTATTTATAAATAATTTGCCAGCAAAAATATGAATGCATGGTAACTGGGAAAATGAATAATCAGAAACCCTTTTTGTCTAAAATTACACTACAACAGATTATTTAAGAATTATTTTCAAACATTTGATGGTGGACCATAGATTGGATTTAATTGCTGCGTACAACGAATGAAAGTCGCACGTTTTGGCAATTCACGTAATCTTTCTGCACCTGTATAAGTGCATGCAGATCGCAGACCCCCTAGCATATCTAAAACTGTATCTTCTACTAAACCCTTGTAGGGTATTTCTACGACCTTTCCTTCTGAAGACCTAAAAACAATAATAATAATAATAATAATAATAACAGTAATAGAAACTGCAAATATCTTATTCATACGTTGTATCAAATTATAAAATTTTAATTATACTCACCTATACTCAGCGACACCACCAGCATGTTTTTTCATAGCTGTACTAGAAGCCATGCCGTAAAATAATTTATACAGCTTTCCATTATTGTTAATGATATCACCTCCGCATTCTTCGTGACCGGCAAACATACCACCAGCCATGACAAAATCAGCACCAGCACCAAAAGCTTTTGCTAAATCACCTGGACATGTACAACCTCCATCCTAAAATATAATACAAGTAACTATCAACATTAGCTTGTATTTAGTGCGATCAACCAATGATATTTACTTACAGAAATTATATGCCCTTTTAAACCATGTGCAGCATCCGCGCATTCAATCACAGCACTTAATTGAGGATATCCAACACCTGTTTTCATTCTTGTAGTACACACTGAACCTGGACCAATTCCTACTTTAATTACATCAGCTCCCGAAAGTATTAATTCTTCTACCATTTCTCCTGTTACAACATTGCCTGCCTGCGATAGAATCATTTAAAGAAACCTTCGCATATATTCTTATATCTTAGCTTTTCTCTTATTACAAATTAGCAACTACTAATCTAGTTTTTATATATCTTATTGAACACGTACAATTATAGTATGGTTTGGATATTCAGATCTAACTTTCCTCACATATTCAACAAAATGTTGCGAATATCCATTAGCAACATCTAAACATATAAATGAAAGTTGTGGCACAGCAGCAATAATACTTGAAAGCCTTCCAAAATCTTCATTCCCTGTACCGGAACTAGCGGCAACATTTTTTAAACATTCAGGATTTTGCGCAGCAAAATCTTTCCATTCGTCCGCTGTATAATACTTATGAATAGTAGTAAAAAGGCCATGCTAAAAAGATTTAATATTAATCAACAAACATTAAATATTAATTTGATATAATCAATTATTTTGTGATTATAATGTTGGATATAATTTTATACAATGAAATATTATACAATAGTGATATGTTAATAACTTTTAATAACTTTCGTACACGCTGTAACTTTAATTGGTATTTCCCAAGCCAGTACAAAATCCATTTTGAATAATGCAAGCAACTAGAATCCACTAATGTATAATACGTTGATTCGTTTTCTTTCAGTTATTTCCTGTTTTTTATTTTTAGATCTTATTAATTCTGAAACGTTGATATAAAAAACAACTATATGATTATTTTGTATATATATTGTATATTGAATCATAAATTTTTAATACCTATGATTCATTTTCATAAGACAAATGTTCTTTCGATTTTTTAATTTAGAAAATAGCCAACATTAAAGTTCAACATCGTAGTAGTATTTTATATGTTAAATAAATGAATTATACCTTTGATAAAGCTCTTGCCATCTCGAATGTTCCTACTGTGTCCATATTTGAAGCCATTACAGGTATACCTCTGTAAGTTTGCTTCGAATTGCGAAATGTAATTTCTCTAAAAAGATCAACCTGAAATATAGATGTTTCAAATAGAAATAACATACAAATAAATATTTATATTGACAATTAATCGGTCTAAATCCAAAGATAAACTATTTAACAAATATAATAAATACTAAAATAACTTATATTACATTTTCATATAAAATTATTATATGATATGTTCAGATTATTTGTGAGCAATTTAATTTATCGAATAAATTAAATATTCAACTATTTACTGACATATAAAAGTACTGGTAAAAGATTTAAAAAAAGAAAGGAAGACAGTATAGAGCTGCGCTGTATTATGAAAATATTTAAAATATAATTTAAAACATAATTTAAAACTTACATCCGACCTGCTTTTTAATGTACTCCTCTTTGGTCGTAAAAGAACATCTTTAAAGTCTAATTTAATATCATTTATTATATTTGGCATTTTGATTAATGTATATTAATAACTGATGAATGACAAAATATAATTTAGCAGATGATTTAATTGATCTTCCTGTCAAAACTAATCACCACTTTCACCCCACGTTTATTGGAAATATTTTAAAGCATAGAGATGGTATATTAACAATGGCATTCCTGGAAGAACGATTAAGATTTAAAACAAACAGTTGAAGTTTTATTTAAATGACTTACCTTTAATAAAAGAAAATAAATACTTGTTAAATCAATGACGAGATTGTATTATTTCTATCTCAACCAATTAAATATATATTTAACTTCATTCACAAGATCTCACAATCATTTATGATTGGAACATCAGATAACCCTTTAATTCGGTGACTAATCATTTATCTCCTTATCGTATTTATCTGATTGGTCAATTTTTAAATTTGAATTCAAATAGTATTTGTACATAATCTCTTTTCAAATGTCATTGTAAATATTTTTTAAATCTTACTTTTGTACAATTTAAAAAAACGAATAATTTAAAAATATATTTCATTGAGTTATTAGTTATTTTATTATTTATTGCATAAATATAATATTATTAAATATCCCTCTCAGGTCAGAGGGATATAATAATATTTATGTTGGTAACCCTGCAACCACTTCGTACCGCATGTGATTCACAGCTGCTGGCAATAGGGTACGAATAAACGAGTTGTAAGGTTGTAGGGTTATATATTGAATATCTCGTATATAAAATAAGATATATAATAAAAATAATAAGTCAAGAATTGCATTTAATTAAAATAAAGTTTATGATTTATTAATAATTAATTATCGTTGGTGTGTTGTGTTGATTTTATATATTAAAAAAAGAAGGAAAAAGATGGCTATAAAGAAAGCACGTGGGAAAAAAAAATGTAAACCGGATTCATCTAAAAATGATGAGAAACATAAACAAGAAAAGAAAATAAAAGTTAAGAACAAGAAAGCATTGATTATTCAGCAAGAAATTAAATTTGTACGATTACTATCGTGCAATGATAAAAGAATAAGGGACAAAGTTTTGAAAAGTTTGAAGAAGTGGTTAATAGTACGTTCTAAAAGTTCATTTGGTAATAGTTTTTATTATTTTATATTATAAATTAAAATTATTTTTTTTTAATCAAGCATATATTTTCATTCATAAAATACATAATAGATTCAATTCATTCTATTTGTTTTATTTTAGAATTTATAGAAGAAGATTTCATGAGATTATGGAAAGGTTTGTTTTACTGTATGTGGATGGCGGACAAACCTTTAAATCAAGAAGAGTTAGCTGAATCTCTTAGTAAAATTATACATTGTTTCGATTCTATGCCATTAGTATTATTATATATCAAAAGTACTTTAAAAACTTTAGCGATTGAATGGTTTGGCATAGACCAATATAGATTGGATAAATTTGCTATGGTAAGTTTATGATATGTATTTCTAGTTTTCTATATAATCATACTAATAGTTAATTTATATTATTATTATTATTATTATAATTAAAGTGGCGTTAGGGGAACTCAAAAACTCATTGCCGCATGTACCAAATCCCGCCAGTGTTCCGGTTCCTGAGCGCGATCCCTCCGTTCGCGATCCTCATATCCCATTTCCTTAATATCCCTTCTAATATTGTTCTCCCATCTACACCTTGGTCTATCCAATGGTCTTTTCCCATTGGGTATACCAGTAAGTATTTTATAAGCGGTTCGTTCCTCACCCATACGCACTACATGGCCAGCTCATCTTAATCGGCGTGATTTTATGATGGTCATAATGTCCGGTCTATTATTTCCACGTTGTGTAATTTTCCCCATTCGCCCGTTTCCTCATCACATTTTGTGCTAAAGATTTTACGAAGTATTTTGTTCTCGAATACCCTAAATTTCTTTTCGTCCCATTTGGTAAGTGACCATGCCTCGCATCCATAAAGGACTACCGGTAGAATGACTGTTTTGTAGATTCTGACCTTTAAGCGCCTAGACAATACCTGCAATAAAGCAGCATGCATTTCCCAAACTGATCCTTTTGTTCAATTCTTCGTTAATTTCGTTCGACTGATTTAGGATTGATCCTAAATACCTAAAGTTGCTGACCCGTTCAAAAATTGTATCCCTAACGACCAAGTTTCTGGTATTATGCAAATTTTGCATTCTATCGGTGACCGTATATTTGGTTTTTTCCACGCTTATTTGCAACCCCAGTCTTCTTGTTTTGTCCAATAGAGTTCTTGTGTTATTTATTAATGTCTCATTGTCTCCCAGCAAAACAATATCGTCCGCATATGTTAGCAATTGCGTTGTCCCATTTAGCTGCAGACCATCCTTACTTTTCTGCAATTCTTTGATAGCAAATTCTAGCACTAGATTTAATAGAAGAGGTGAAAATGCGTCCTCCTGTTTTAATACGCTATGGATACTGAAAGTTTCTAATGTTTGACTACCTATTTTTACTTTACCCCTAGTTTCCCTTAAATAGACTTGGACCAGATTTACCAGTTTTATTGGTATGCCCTGTCGTATTAAAATTTCAAACATTTTCTCCCGTTTTATTGAGTAGTTAATTTATATTAATATAAAAAATTATACTGTTATACTAAATTTATTAATATTATTATACCAGCATTTCTTAATTTATAATCGTACAGTTAGAAAGGCTCTTAAACATTTTTTATTATAAATATTTGGATTGTAGTACCATTACAAACAAATATATTGAGCCGCACTGTACAAAATATTGAGAAACTCTGGTATATATTAAAAGCGTACTAACTATATAAGTTTATTTATTTACAGTTAGTTAGAAGAATATTACGACAAACTTTTAAAATATGTCACGACAAGAATTGGGACATGGAATGGGTAGAAGGTTTAATGAAAATATTGCAAGAGATCTTAATAGAACCAAAATATTGTTTAGGTTTTAAAATGCATGTAACTGAATTATATTGGGAAGAAATAGCAAAGGTAAATATTTCATTAGATATTTAAATGAGAAGAGATGCTATTATTTCTATTTTTATTGTAGGTCAGCAATGGAAACATACCAGAAGATGTTGTTACAAGACTTGTCGAACCATTTATTGCATACTTGGCAGTAATGGGAGATGAAAAACTAATAAGGCACGTAATGAAACATATTTTTAGATATCTTATCTTTCAATCCGATGTTGGAATGGATTACAAAGAAAAATTTGAAGCTTGGAGAAAAGTAAGTGATTAATGTTAAAAATTATTTATTTAATATTTTATAAACTTAATATTAATAAAAGCTTATGTGTGTGTGGTTACGTATAGGCTGGGTTCCCTTGTAAAAGTATTGACGATATGCAAAAAATAGAAGAATCTGATGAAGAAAGTGAGGAAGATACAAAAGTAATTTCTGAAAAAGAATCAACAGAGAATACAGTAAAAGTTTTAGATCCAAGAGCTGGTAGAGTTGATGTAGAGTTGCCACAAATAAATTTTAATGCTAAGAATATATCGGAAGTAATTAAATTATACAAATTTCATCCTTCATCAACAACAAAATCACGAAGACAAATTGCACGTCTTATAGATGAGTAAGTATTCAAATTCATTTTAAAAATATTCCAATAACTTTCCCCTTTTTATTCTAATATTATTATTTGTAGATTTACAGAAGTTTCGGAAGGTAAAATGCCTCTTGGTGTGCAGGAAGTAGAAACCATTCGCAAATTTAGTTCCAAAACAGATCCAAAGAAAGCTGCGTTACGCTTACTGAAATTTAACGAAGAGTTGTATTCTGATAGTAACGAAAATAAACGAAAGAGAAAAAGAAATGGATCAGATGAAAGTTTCATCAATGAATTAGAAGAAATTAATACAGACAAGAATATTACATTAGAAAGGAATAATAAAAAATTAAATAAGAGGAAAAAATTAAATCAAGATTTAAAAAATAATTTAGACGAACCAAATCAAACTATAGAAGAATCATGTTCGAAAGATTTGAAGATTAATAACAAGAATAAACAAAAGAGACGAGGAGATCAACTTGAAAATGAAACTGTAAAAAGTAAGAAAAATGAGATGACTATGAGCATACCTTATAAGATAGGTAAATCTAAAGGAATAAAAAGAAAATCGACATTGATTAACGAGAAAAATATGATAATGAGTAAATTGAAGAAAATGAAAAATAATATTTGCGGTCATTGGGATATATCGGATTACTTTGTACCGGTCAATAGTAATCAAAATAAAATGAATAATTCGTGTAATGAAGAAATTGATAAGTCGATATTAAACGATAAAAGTGACGTAATACCTGATAAAAAAATAATGTTAACTCCTGAATTAGGTAAATCAATGGTAAGTTTTTAAAAAGTTAAAACGACAATTAATGTGTAATTTAATATTATTTAATATTATTTTATATTGAGAAATATATAATTGAAATTAATTATCATTCATAGAGTTCAAAAGAAAACACGGAAAAACAAAATAAATTGATCAATGAATTAGGACAGAAGAAACGCGTGAAAATCGTTTTACAACGTAACACTGCTCAACACACGTCAGATTATATTCAACAAGTTAAACAAAGTCCAGCGATTCCTTTCGATGCTAATAAAAAACCACCGGTTGGTGTTTTGAAAGCTAGCCCAATACCAAGTCCAATTAATCCATTTTATAAAAAGAAATATAAAACGATAAATAAATAATGCAATTTAAGTTATAAGTAAATAATGCAATTAAGCGATATGTGAATTTAGGGAAAAAGAACAAAACAAAACTACAACAACAACAACAACAACAAATTGATTATTTGTTAATAATATAATAATAATAATAATAAAAGTACAAACGTTTTTAATTCTACAATTTTTCATCTTTTAACTGTTCGATAATTAAAATACGCAATAACTCATATTAATATTAATAGAGAATATTAATTCACAAAATTATTATCACACTAAGAAAAAAAAAAACCAGTACTAATTATTATTGATATTTCGAAAAATTGGAGAACGAAAGCCAGGAAGTAAGGATAAGAAGAAAGAAAAAAAAATATGGTCGCCGATATAGAATGATACGATACCTAGGTAGCCCATCTCATTTAGAAGGCAACATTTCTCAGCGAACGTTCGTAGAAAGTGGTCAACCAATGAGCTGAGAAGAATACTGTAACTCCCTGTCGAAGAAGTGGGTTCTCTTAGTATCGTGGCGGAGGGCAATACCGGTTCGATTTATCATCTCTTGGCAGTGTCGTGAAGCCGTGCAATCCGGTGGTTAGTCACATTGATAGATAAAAGATTTTTCTTTTGTACCAAGGACTACGAATTGGTACAACAATACGGTAGAAGTAATAGCAATATATATTTTTTTTCATTTTATTCGAAAAAAACGGACAATATATTTCCAAGTAGATACGAACGGACGATCAAGATCAGACAGCCCAAAAAAAAAATAAAAAGAAGAAATGTCGTTTCGACTTAAGACGCTTTTGTGCGTCATCTTGATCATCATTGTCACAGGTAGGAAGATAACATTTCACAACCCGTTCGTTATTTCATTTGATTATTTTCTTTTTTTATTAATATTTTGTCATCGAGAAAGTGTGAAAGTTAATGGAATGTTAAATCATCCTATTTTTTCATTTCTTTTAAATTTATTTAATGTTTGCAATATTAAATACGTAACTAAGAAACAGAGGTGGTAACGGTGAAAGAAAAAGAAGGAGAAAGAAAGAATGAAAGAGAGAGAGAGAGAGAAAAAGAGAGAGAAAAAGAGAGATTGCTTGGAGTCGTGGATAAAACGAGATCCAGTCGTCCTTGTCGTCTGAATTCGTAAAACATCGCGAATCCCTTTCGAAAATTGCGAAACTAGACGACTGATCGAGATTCATCGAGTTTTATTATCGATGACACCCATCCGGGAATTTTTATTGTTGTCTTTTAGATCAATGTTAACAATTTTTAATTATTATATCTTCTATCTTTTTCTTTTGCAAGGTTGCTGTTCTTTAGTTTCCCTCCATTACATTTCATTACAATAAGAGGAATTCTCTTCTTTATATTGGCTGTACGTTCGAACGTTCTTGTTATTGGAATTCAACGCGATCTTTCTTGCTCACCTACACGTAGAATTATTTCTTAGAACTTGAATCGCAAGTTTAATAAAAGTGTTTTAATAAGGGATTCGAACTTTTCTTTTTAAATGGAAAAAGATTATGATATTTTAATCGTAAAAAAGAAAAAGTAATAATTTTAGCGTTCATTATATTTTTGTACTTAAACAATATTCTTGTTGGTTTCGTGTATTTTTTTTTGTCTTAAAAAAGGTTTTTTTTAAGACAAAAAATAAGTTTCACTATTATATTAATTATTTTTGTTCTTTAACATAAATCTCTACTACCTGCACGCATGAATTTTCATTTCGATCTTAGGAAAAAAAAACGAAGAGAGTTTTATCGAGAATAATTATTATTTTTCGCGTTGGATTCAAGAACAAAGACGTCGAACATTTAAATGAAACAACATCCTTGCTGATTTCATTCGTATTTACATAAGTCCTCCCCTACCTGCGCATATGAATTTTGATTTTGAATGGAATAAAAAAGAAGAAGAAAGAAAAAGGATTGACAATATTGGGAATAATTAATGATCCTTTATCGTGGCGGATGTTTTTTCTTTTTTTTCTTCTTTATTTCGGATTGAGAACAAAGGTGGTTGAGATGAATATTTTGGTAAAACAGCATCCTCGTTGATTTCACTCATATATTTACATAAGTCTGACTACCTGCACATATGGCATTATAGGCAGGATTCAAGAAGAAAGATATTAACACGTGTACGTGCACACACACAAATAGAAATGTTGCACCTGAACAGTTTGCTAGTAGGTACAACGTCATTGCCACACCGGTACCTTCACTTTCCACTTTGCAAGTTGAACGTATATATACGTTTTGACATCTCTACACAACAATTACGATTTATATACCATCATCGAAATGATTTTATATTAAATAATAAATGCGTAATAATTGTAAAACTCGATAATAAACGATTAAAATTTATAAGAAAAAGAATCTATCGTTTCTTTGTATAATAATGAATTGTAACATTGATCATTGAATTAATGAGAATTAATCAACAAACATTTTATTAACTAATCGAATTGAGTATTTAATAATTTCGTATTGTAACATCTTTGAGTTGTTCCACACAACAGTGTCAGGATTAAGATCAGGTTTGTGTGTTAACAATCATAAAATCAAGCATAAGACTCTTCCTCGTTGGCCACTTTCTCCTGACTGCGTATACGCACATAATTTTAACACATTCGAATAACATTTCATCTGAATATAACGAGAAACATTAATATTAAATCTTTTTAATATCCCAATTGAAAGGTTTAAATTATTATTCAGTATCTACGAGAACAACAACAAAATAATAATTGTCAATTATATAATACACAGGAATAATTATTTATTTTATTGTTCGATAATTGAATATTTACGATTATGTAAGTAAATATACAAAAAGAAAAACAAATAACGTTTCATCATTTTACAATTGTTCGTATAAAAATTAAACAGTTCGAAGTGATTAATTTCGTTTGTAGAATTTGTTAAAAAATTTTTGATGCGTTTGATTGATGCTTCATTTTTTTAGATTGAAAATATAATTTTACGAATAATTAAATTCAATAGAATTAAGTGATCAACAAATTGTGTAGTAATCTTTAAATAATAAATAAAGTATATGAAATAAAAATGTACTTTTTGTTTTATAAAACATATAAAACTAACAACAGGATTTATATGTAAATTAAAATATCGAAAGTGTGTAAAAAGAAGGAGGAATATCATGCAAGATGGATATTTGTTTAGAAAATAATAACAGAGGGACTGGTTAGGATCCAAGAATTTGCTTTCTCGTATCAACATGTAACACTACGAGTATATATGCCTATTAAAGTGTCGTATTTAATTAACGTTAGAATTACCAAAACCAGTTAAAATCGCTTGTTGAAGTAAAACGAGTCTCCGTTATTTTTCTTTTCTTCTAATTAGTATAAATATGTGTGTGTAACATTATAAATAAAAATTAATTATAAAATATATCCACATTAAAACGATCTTATGTGCAATTACATGAAGAAAAATAAGCTTCGAAGTTCAAGAAATATTTTCTTGAATAATTTTAATCATAAATTTATGATGAGAGGGGAGAAAGGGAGGAAAGAAAGAAATAATTTCGTTGACCTTGTAAAAGATCCCTCTTCCTACTTTTAATAATCAAAATTCTTTTTATATACGACAAATGATATCTACTCGATTTACTTCGTGTAATTTTGATTGACCCTGTCCCGAGAAATTCAATGTCGTGACAAACGTTCAAAACTTAAAAAAGAAAAAAAAATAGAAAGAAGAAAAAAGAGATCCCCTCGTGATAATTCGGTTTGTGTGTCGAATTTTAAAAACACGTTTTAGCACGGTTACTACAGGTACAAGATTGGTATGTCACAATCGCGTTCTTCATCACTTTCTCAAGCCTCTCTTTTCAGATAATCTTTTGAATTTCTCTCAACCCATTTTCTTTGCTTCTTATGTATATGTAAGTTTCCTTGAATATATGCATTAACTTTCATCTTCATCTTCATCGATGATCACGATGACGATATGATGTATCTTGCGTTGTATATTCTCGTATAAAGAAATAAAAATGTACGAGAAAAATATTTAAAAGCAAAGAAGAAGAAAAAGAAATATAAAAAAGAAAAGACAATGCAAAATAGAAATAATTAAAAGTATAATCGTGTGCAGGTTGTTATTGTTGATAGGACTCGCATCCTCCTATTGTTTAGTCAATTCGTTATGAAATAATCCCCAACTATTAATCTTTCGAAAGATTAAACGTTTATAGAGGGTATCATATTACAGTAGTTTATGGTGAAGAAAAGAATAACATAATTTCTAATAGATTCAAAATGATTCTTAGATAATTGGTAATAATTATATATCTTTATTCTATAATGGTGGGTGTCATTGATAACACGAAGCGAATATAATTCCGATGATATGGCTGCCGCGTTGGAGAGTTCAACGACTCTTCTTCCTTCATCGAAGATAAGATCATCGTACGGATAACATAAATTGTTACTTATTTTTTCTTTTTCTTTTTCTTTTTATCGTGAAAGCCTACGGTTATAAATAATTAACCGATTAGATTGTATGTATACTTGATTATTGCATATATTAAATGACAGATAAATATCTCGACTTAACACCGTACAGAAATTAATTCAACTCTTCGAGTCACACGATCAACTTAAGTAATCATAAGCTATGTATAATATATATAGGAAAAAAAAATTAAATAATCTAGTCAATGTGGAACATAGAGACAATTATACTATTATATTCATCCTGTTGTAACTAACGTTAAATCTTCAGCCTTGACATTTTCGACCGATACGACCAACTTTCAATTTAATTTTTAATCTATGATAATGATTAATCCTTCGCCTTCTTCGTAAAACCCATAAAAGACGTCATGTTATTTCTTCTTCTTCTTTTTCTTTTTTTTTTTTTTATGTCAAGGCTAAAATATTTGTTTTTCTTTTTGCTGCAGTACAATGCCAAAAGAATAAAAAGGAGGAGGATAAAAAAGACGAAGAATTTACGTGTCCGGAAGGTCAGGGAAATGGAAATTTTGCCGATCCTGCGACCTGTAGAAGATTTTATCAGGTATTTTTAATTTTAATAAATAATCAAATATTTTTTATATATTTGTTTTAATTATGTTATAAAGAATATTAACAAAATGTTGACTCTGTTATAATTCATATTTTAACAGTGTGTAGATGGATACCCGTATTTAAACAGGTGTCCTTCGGGATTACACTTTGATGATATCAGTAAATTCTGCACCTTCAAAAATGAAGCTCGTTGTGGTCCTATTGCTGCAAGTAAGTATACCAAAATATTTTCTTATCGCTTATAAGTTTTTATTTATTTTTTTGATTATTCACGGGGATAAATATATTTTTTGTTCAGCTCCACCTCCGATAACGGATCCTCCAACGGATCTTGCTGAAAGATGTGATACATCAAATTGTCAGCTTCCATACTGTTTTTGTTCAAGAGATGGAACGATTATTCCTGGTGGCCTTCAACCGGAAGAAGTATAATTTTGTTACATTTAATTTTCATATCTCATCAAATGATATTAAACGTTTGTATTTTGTATTTAATACATTTTACTTGTTACAGACACCACAAATGATAATAATAACATTTGATGGAGCAATAAATCATAATAATTTTGATCATTATCAAAAGATTTTTACACAAGATCGATTGAATCCTAATAATTGTCCACTTAAAGGTACCTTTTTCATTTCTCACGAATATTGTAATTATAATATGGTACAAAGTTTAGCGCACGATGGTCATGAGATAGCAACGGAAACAATCTCGTAAGTATGCAAATGATTGTTTTAGTTTGTCAAGTAAAATTCTAAAATTAAATATATTTTTAGGCTTCAAAAAGGATTAGAAGATAAAGGGTACGAAGAATGGGTCGGTGAGATGATTGGAATGCGAGAAATTCTCAAACATTTTAGTAACATTTCAGCTAATGAAATTGTTGGTATGAGAGGGCCGTACTTGAAACCTGGTAGAAATACTCAATACAAAGTATTGGAAGATTTTGGTTACATATATGATAGTAGTATTGGAATTTCACCATTAAAAACACCAATATGGCCATATACTCTTGATTACAAAATACCCCATGAATGTAAAGCTGGTACCTGTCCTACTAAATCATTTCCAGGTAATTATTACTTCAAATAAACAAAAATAAATAATTTATTACATGATTAAGATGTTTCATTTATCTTATAGGAGTATGGGAAATACCTTTAAATGCTCATTATGTTGAAAGTTATGAGGGTGGACATTGTCCTTATTTGGATCAATGCGTATTACATAATCATGATCCTGAAGAAGTATTTGAATGGTTACAAGAAGATTTCAATAGATATTACGAACAAAATAGAGCACCGTACATGATGCCGTTCCATACGAATTGGTTTCAAATAAAGGAACTTGAAAGAGGACTTTCTAAATTTCTTGATTGGGCAGTAACATTGTAAATATTTAATTATTTTCTAATATTTGAATATAAAAATCTTCTATATAGTCAACATATTTTTTAAAAAAAAGATTGTATTAATAAAATATTTTTCTTGTTTACAGACCAGACGTTTACTTTGTGACTGCCACGCAAGCATTAACTTGGATAACTGATCCAAAACCAGTTAAATCTTTACATAACTTTGAAGGTTGGTCATGTAAGAAAAAAGAAAATATTCCTGGACCACCATGTAATAATCCAAATAAGTGCGCTTTGGACTTTAAGCCTCCAGAATCCAATTTCACTACAACTAGGTATATTAAAGATAGAATATTGATTATATTTAAAAAAATTTTTAAGCAAGTTTAAGTATAAATATTTGAAGCTTAAATGAAATATTATGTAATATAATATCAAATGATTTTACAGGTACTTGGAAACATGTAGAGAATGTCCTTATAAATACCCTTGGTTGGGAGATGCGAAAGGTACTGGATTATACAACGATAATTATAATCCTGAAAAGAAATAAATGAATATTTCTAAATAAAATTAGGTGTAATATTATGATTGTCAAGTTAAGTTACATTTTGTTTTATTGTTATCGTCAAAATAGTTGCTATGTGTGATAAAGTTCATTGATTATTCGTTGGTAAAGAATGTCTACAAATATTGTGCAAATTACCTATAAATATTATAGTTCATTTCAAGGAAGTATTATTATCATGTATGTATATATCATAGATATATCATATATATACATATGATATCTAAGGAGAATGACAAAATTTGTCAAAAACAAAAATGTTTGCTATAAATAATCTATATTTCATTGATCAGTTTGATTAATTGTATAAAAATCATATGTGGTTGTAATATTTTAGTCTTTTTTCCTTCTGTACGTACTTATAACAAATTTCATTCTTCATTGATATATAATTCTTTTCTTTTTTGTTTTGTTTCACAATAAATTTTGACAGATTCGATTAAAATATATGTATAATTAAATAATCCATTATTTCCATAATTTTCAATCAATTTTGCCTAATCTTAATTTTTACTTAAACTAATAAAATATTATTTCTTTAATATTAATTATATACAATAAGGCCTACTTTTTTATTTGATCTGTTCTGTTACTTTTATAAATTTACACGTAAATCATATCGGATTAATTTATTTATTATGTTAACAAGAACATAACGACACTAGATGAGGTAAATATTTTATGTATTAATTATTCTATGTGATAATATAATTGAAAATAATATATAATATATATATATATATATATACATAGAAGATATTATAGCTACAATTATAACTCTATAATCGAGTACAATATTGTTTAAATAACTATATTACCTAACGGTTCGGAGTCCATTTTTCGAACACTTCGCCCCACTTTTTACGTTCTGAAAGAATAAAAGGAATATTATTGCATTGAAATGTTTAACAGTGAAAGATCAAGGAAATGAAATTAATTTAACACTTTTACTATCATGCTGCGATAAAGAGATTTCAACTACATTCTATAATTCATTTTTCATGTTGTTTACAATCACAAATATGTGATGCTAGGATCTCAATAGAAATCTCAATGGTGTGTCACAAATATGTGACACTGGTACCGAACGTATTAAATATAAAATGATTTCATATTACCAGGCTCTGGAAAATCTTCTGGATGTAACGTAACATAATGACGAAGCATCTGATCTCTTTTCGCATAAAAATTATTCGCATACTGTGATACTTTATACGTTACTACAAATCCTAATAATGCTGCAATTATGTGTACTTGCAAACCTGTAAACAAAATTTATAATAATAATAATAATAATAATAATAATAATAATAATAATAATTAGAAGAAGATATATTACTATGATCATTTAATTACTGTCATCAATTAAAATTATATTTAAATAATTCAAGTTATTAATGGTAAATCAAGTGTTGCATAATCGGCATACATATATACAAATGCAGGTTAGGTTTGCGTCAATTGTTAATTTTGATTTTTGCCTTTTCAATATAAATAAATAAATTTAAGATTGATATTTATGTAAATATAATTAATACATTTATAAATAATTATTTAATTACCTGCAAACGGAGGTTTACCCAAAAAATTATTTCGAAAACATGCTCCTCCAAAAAATGTAAGTGGCACTCCGACAATCGCTCCGTATTTTTCATAAAGAGAAGGTTCATAATCGGGATCAGGTGTAAGAATATTCAATGCCCATTGAATATCAGGATTATCAGCCATTTTTCTTTAATAATATGTTTAATTTAATTATTTAAGTTTATCTCAAAAGTGCAGTCTGAGTACGTAAGTACTTACAGCTCGCTCTAGCGGAGATAAACTGAACCAACAAGTGCGCTATTTTGAATTCTTTAAATACACAAATTGTAATTAAATTAGAATTCAATGATTTAATTCGAAAATTATTTATTTTAATATACTTTTAAATGTGTGATCTTAATTTTTTATAATTCTTTTTTTATTTTGTATATATTTGTATAGTCTACTATCGTGTATATTTTATTTTATATTTTATAGATACGCGTGTTGTTAAAATATGAAATAAGAAGAAATGATTATAGTAATTTGTTTATCTACAACATTTATTGGCACATATGTAGCAATACTTATTTTACATAGCACAGCAATTTTTGTTTTCAATTGTTATATGAAAAGTACCATCACTTGTAATAATAATAATAATGTAATAGTACTGTTAACATAAAATAACTATTAAATATATATATTTTAAATAAATTTACTTATATATATATTATCTTGGAATAGAGAAATATTAAATAGTATTCGTAAATATAGTATTTACTATGTGAATAAGATCGTGCTATCTTATTCATAATAAAATAAGTGTATGACATGTATAATTCAAGTAATATCATTGATGGCACTTCACATATTCTACATTAATTAATATGTAGAGTAACTATATTCTAATAGTTAAAAAAAAAACTTTTAAAAAATAAAATTAATAATAATAACGTTACACAGTATATCATATCATAATGTACAGTTAGATGTAGAAAAATATATAGTATTAATTAAGATTGTTATTTTTGTTGCTGTTGTTTTAAGGAAGATGATTTGTCTTGCATTAAAATGGAATAATTAATATTCGAGATTTTATAATATTATAATTATTGCATTAATAATATATTATTAAGAAGTAATGAGAGAAAAACGGTGGATTTATTTCTTAGATTAATTAATCACCTATTTCTTTAAAACGTATCACATATTAAAGTGTATAAATAAGATAGTATTATATGGCTATATTTTATTGCATTTGAAGATTAAAGATTTGATTAATAATAAGTGAATAATTTATACTATTTGTACGAATAAAACTCATAAATAGGAATATTTATAAAAACATACAAATGCATAACAAGTGATTAAAAGGATTTTCGTTAACCCCAGTCAAGTCATTAACAGTTGAAATACAAATGATAACGTATCATTTGTATTGTTTTTTCTTTTTTTAAATAAATACTTATCTCACATTGCGTGCAATGCTTATTAGTCTTATAGTAAATAATAATTCAAATCGTAAATTGTAATGATTGATGTTGTAAATGATAAATTCCTTCATTCGTCGTTAATTTTCTATACTTACATTTAATGAGAATTTTTTTGTACAAGTCAAGCAACTCCAGACCATAACGACAATGCTGATCTGAAATGAAAAAAAAACATGTAATATATTATAGTGCAATTTAAACAATATTATATTTTTTACAAACCTGAAGCATGCTTGTGGCATCGTATTGACCTGATGCCACAAAAATAATGCTAAGAAAATACTCCAAGTGCGTAAAGGACATAAAATAGTAGCAAGCGTTCCGTACGCCAACCAGAAAAAGTACGCCATATTTACTTGCATTATAACTAATAATATAATTGGTAAATTTTGCCAAAAGAAACAAATTTTGGATGATCTGTTATACGTTCCTTCCGTGTTTTGTAATCTGTTAAATTATTTATTATTAAATAGGATACTTTACTTTTTATTTATTACATTCTATTTTACCTTTTATCCGCTTGATGCGCCAGGATTAACATGAGTGGTAAATGGAAAGAAAATAATTGGAAAAATCCATACGCGTAAGTAAAAGCTCCAGGTAGAAATGAATTTCCAACGTATGTACCCCAAGCAAATATTACTCCTATATGATTTTCTATCACTTCACCGATAGTCCATGGACCTAAATAAAAATTAATTACATCAAATTAATAAATACTATTGTACATTGATTTTTGTATCTTATGTATTGCACATGTTAACATTTCACATTATTATTGACTAAATAAAATGAAAGATAAATAACTTACCAACAGTTAAATATAAAGCATAAAGAACTAGAGGAAAAAATAAACGATCAATGGTAGATAATATCCATAATTTTCTAATCCACCAGTGGAAGAACTTTATACGTATCCTTGGACGCGACATACGCTTTGCTAATCATAGAAGTTGATAATAAAGAATTGTTTTCACTTTTGCAGACATATTATAAAAAATAAATTATTTAATTTACCTTCACAAAGTATATGAAGGAAGCGAAATAAGCACAGAGGTGCTACTATTAATAGAATTACACTTCCAAATAAGAACTGAAACTAAATAAAAATTTATAAAAATAGATGAAACAATTATATTATAAATATTTAAATTATTAGTAATATAATGTTGAATAATAACTTACGATATGACTAACATTGGACATAAGAATCAGTCTAGGTAAAAAGCCAAAAGATAATCGTGATCCGTCAAGTGAAAAAGGTTGTTTTATAACTTTTTCTCTATCCTGTTCATCTACTACACGAACCTATAAAATATAAATAATAATAATCAGATATATAATTATATGCAATATAATACATTTTTATCAAATACAATACTTATAAATTATACAGAACTTGAATATAATGAATTTCATTGATATACTCCAAAGGATTCCATTCTACAGCATAGAGTGATCTTTTTATGTGTTTACATTGTAGCCAGGGCCCGTTATCCAATTGTACTTGGACACTTTTTATTAATGCTGTTGAAAATGCTAATACCCTATTTTTATATTATTATAATTATTTATTAATTTAAATATATTCTTATAAATGTAAGTTCGATATTTAATAAGAATTAACACAATTCATAAAATTACCTTATGTGTGTAGATTTAATAATAGAATTAATATTTTCTTTACGAGGCATCATATAAAGAGCATGTTTTGGATTGGTAATCAATGCAACAGGCCAATCTTGATGTTTTATATCAATGAATGAGAACTGTCCGTGATCTATTGCTGCAAGTCGATACCTAATAATAAATATAGATAGAAAGTAAAATTAGGCTTTTCAATAGCATGTCAAAATAATAGATGAAAAATTCTACATTCTATTGTCTTTCCAATCTGCCAATTCTAATTCAAGAAATCCCGCTTGTTGTTTCGTATACATGTTTGGAACTGTACCGCCGAGAGTATGGTAATGACCACATAAATAGACCATGCTTTCTTTATATCTACCTTTAATATGATAAACATTATTAGTATAGAAAAATGCACACCAATAAAAAAGAATAAAGCCATGTATTATTTATAAACCATATACCTATAATATTTCTGATATTCGTTTTAGATTGAGATAATATACACGACGTCGGATAATGTCCAAACCAAATGATATAATCTGCATTATTGTAATTAGATACATTAACTAATTCTTCTATCTTCCTTAATTCTTGTTTATCCAAAACGCCAACAAAATTGAATGGTCTTTTTGGCCCAGGTTTCAAACAAGCATCGATAGCAATAAATGAGTACGTTTCAGATCCGACAGTAACTTTATGCATGTAAGATCTTGGATATTTTTTCCCTTGGATAGAATAGTTCGAATAATAATTATTCTTAGATTCGAGACTTACAACATTGAAATTATCTAAAAATCAAATTTTGTTAAAGTATGTTAATTGTTATTTATAGATGAATTAGTAAGCTTATTATATTTTTCATTTAAATTCATACCATGGTTTCCTCTAACGTCAAGCCATAATGTTTTGTTTTTAACATTTGTATTTTCTAATATGTTCTTATAATATATCCATTCTTGTAATATTTGATTGGAACCCATTTTATCTTTACTCTTTGCATCGGTTAAATCACCTATGTTAATAAATACTATTATAGTGTTGTGATTAAGAAGATAATTAGTTATAATAATAAATGATATCTATCTTGTATAAAATACCTGATGCAAGGACAACTGAAGGCATAATAGTTGTGACCGTTACATTACAAAACTCTTGTAATTCTAATATTCTTCTAGGGTCTTGAAATATGCTTATATGTATATCTGTTATCTGAAACAGTTATAATTAAATAAACAACATCGAATCTAAAATTAAAAGATTCTATATTTAAAAATGAACAATCATAGTATTTACAAACTAATAAACATATAATATTTTAACTTATAACTAACCTGTATAAACCATATTAAGTGATCGTCTGAATCCGTTATTTGATATAAATTTGGATGTAGCCATTCCGACTCTATGCCTTTGCATGATATGGTATTATCTGATATATGACAATCAACATTAATTAGATCGGCAACGTTAGCCACAAAAATTGATAACATTAATACAAAAATTAGAAGAATCACTGTTGATTTAGCTATTCTCATTTTAAATAAGTTAGTATAATTTGTTCAGATATATATTAATTTTTCTATAATAATTACTCGTTTTTGAATAATAACCATATGTGACTATACATTTATATATACTTATCACATAAAATTCCACAAAAGTACTTTTTTTCAGAACAAGATACTTGGAGTATAATATATTATTGCACTAATGTAAGTTAATTTTTCTTTGTTCTGTTTAGATTGACATTCACATAGGTTATAATTATTGATACACACAAGTAATCAATTTATATTTGTATACATCTTTTGGGGAGGAAGACAGTTGAAATATTTCAAATTAAAAATTTTTATTTCGGTTACATTTGTTCCCTAACATTTTTACATTACGACTTACGCGCCGACAAATCTACATCTAACAGCTGATCAGTCTGAGTCGATGATAAGATGACATGTGTAAAAATATATTTAGTACATCATACGCATGACAATTTGCGTAAAAGCTATAAAACAATAATGTAAAAATATGTATATTTCTTGATTAAAAAAAGCATAAACTCAATATATTGCACAGTATATATATATATAAAGTATAAGTACCATATAGTATATATATATATATATATATATATATGTATAAGAATTGTATAGCATGTATACATAAGATATCTCAGCTCAAGAGGCTGATTAAATATTTTATTTTAATGGAATAAACAATTCTAAGGTATAATTTGATTGATTTCAAAAAAGGTATGTCATGGAAAAAAATGTTTGTTGTTAGATTATTTTTTATAAATTTCATTCAGGCCTCTATTATTTTTTATTTTTAAGTATAAATTATAAAGTATACTTGTATTAAGTTTAAGTATAGGAAAGTATACTTGCATTATGACTTTAATAAAAAAAAATGTGAAGTGGAAATCTACTCCTATCGATAGTTGATAAATGCAACTAGGAATCTGATGGTAATTCTGATGATAAGTTACCATCAGATTTCGGTCGATAAGATAAAGGTAGAGCACTACTATTACCGATATCGGCTTAGCTATGTTACTAGAATTTCAATATATTTTAAACTTTCTTATTTCCTAGTAACTTTTTATAACAAGTAGTGTACACAAAGTGAATGTGTAATTAAATTCTATATACATTTAAAAACAAACAACAATTAGAAATCTAATATAGATATGTTATTTTAATTATTAATTAAGGAAGTTTACTCGTTAAGAACGATTGTTTGAGAACAGGTACAGGAAAAAGACTTACTAGATTAAAAAAAAACCAATATCATATTGGAGCTAGAAAGACCGTAGAAAAACAGACAAACAAAAAGTCAGCAATTGATTGAAAACAAAAAACAATAGAAAACTTCATTGCTTTGCTTAGAAATGGGAAACAACGTTTTTGTTTTTTCAATTATTAATAACTACTTAAATAATTCATTGATAAAGTGTGCAATTATAGATTTTAAACATGCAATTAATGTACAATTAAGAGTACTTATCCATTTTTTTCTTCTGTTCAGATTCTATGCCAACTTTTTTGCAGCAGTATGATTAATTTAGAGTTTCAATATAGTTTATTTATTATTAATAACTTTTATTCACAATAATAGTACATTTGTTGTTAACAGAACACTTCCAACTTATTGTTTTAATAATATGATTGGAATCTGCGTACACATCTTTTCCTCTTAATATTTATTTAATTAATATTGTTCTTTTATAATACCTATAATTTATAAGGTAAGAGCTTTTGATTCTATCAAACATTAACAGGAGCAGGTGGTGTCTGCTTTAATTGCAAAATAATTGAGCGCATTCGAGATACATCTTTGGAAGTGCGAGATGATTTAGGATTGAAATCGCATAGCTTTGCGATACGTTCCCATTCAGTACCAGGCTCCACTTCGTCAGCTTCTGCAACGAATTGCTTCTCTGCATTCCTATTAATTAAGAACGCCAAATTAATTTTAATGTCATATCACGTATCATTTATTTTATAATAAGTTTTCATTAATCCATGTTTTTTTTTCATATACAATTCAAGCAGAATTCATCATCGTCTAATTTATTTGCGGGCATTATTTTAATCTTTTACAAAGTGAATGCCAGTATACATGCATTTAAAAATGCTTATATAACAATTTTTAGTAGACATATAGATTATAATATTAACAAAAATTAAAATAATAATAATATATTGACAGATTTATATGATATGTATAAATATATGATATGCGATACATTCTTTGTAAGAATAAAAAAAAAAGTTTAGCTTTCTAGAACTTAATTTATATGAAAGTATTTATCTTGTTTTTTAAAATTTTATCTATTTACCTGCCTAAGCAAAGCCATGTAATATGATAACTTAATGCAATACACATTGCAACTATATGTAATTAATAATGCAATAATAATACATGCAATTAAACAGATTGTAACTTACTTGGCTGATTCCCTAAGAAGCAGAATAAAAAAATAATGTATGTATATATCTATATATCATACTTATTCAGATAGCCTAAAATTAAGTATTTAATAATATTGAACTACCATTAATAAATGTAATTAAGAATATGTAACTATCGATTTCGTTAAAGAAAATATGAAAAATATTTATTTTTTACAGCAACTTTTAAGTTAATATACCTGTAGTTTTTGCTTTGCATTTATTATAAAGAAAAAGTACATTTAACAAAAATATAAGTAATTAATATCAAAAGTGAAATCTTTTTTAGTGTCTGTAATTACTTAAGTAAATAGAACAAATGTTAGATTTCAACTACAGATAATATATAAATACAGGATATAAGAAAATAGAAAAATTACCTGTTAGTTGTTTTGGTTTTGCTAATTGCCTCTGCGTGATGTTTATACCATTCTTCTAATTCTTTCTTCGCAGCTTCTCTCCATTCTTCCTTCTTTTTTTCTTCCTCGGCATCTAGTTAAATATGTATATGTATACTATAGAAAATATTACAAGTAATATACAGAGTATCTGAGATTTTTTTGATCTAATGATGTCAGCATATTTTATCATTAGGTATTTTTTTAATTTTTAATTAAATTTAATTATTAGACGTACCTTTTTCTTCAAGACGCGTTTTCTGTTCTTCCCTCCATTTTCGTATCTTTTCCGGCTCCTCTTTAATTTGTGGCGCTGATGATACCGTATCTACAAAAGCATCTATACTTTTAGGTAAGTAATATATTCTTATTATCAATTTTTTATGAGCATATATATTTTACCTAGAGTAGGTAGCGTTGAACATTCGGTAGGTTGTACAATGGTGTCTATGATTTCAAAACTACCTTCGACATCACTACCTGGACCAAGTTTTAAATTGCCAAAATTTCCAGGTAAATCCTCTACTAAAAATATACTTAATTGTTATATACATTATGTATAATAAAATTGTTAAGAATACAAAACACCTTTGAAGTCAAATGTAAAGTATAATTCACTTATCGTGAAACTATTTTAACCCCTTGCATTATAACAACATATGAGTTTGTAATATGATTTACGGCCCAAATATGAGAAACAAGTCCTACTCATAGCGAATTTTATAGACCAAAAATAAAAAAAATACAATATAGTATTGACTTTGATACGTAGCTCTGCATATTAAATCATAGTACAAAGAGTTGATAACAATTTTATAATAGATAAATAAAAAATAAAGTTATATTTATAAATTCACCTTCTCCATTAGTAGGTGCTGCTGCGGTAGCTATAGAGACAGGAGGAATTTCATCTTCTAATCCTGCTAATTGATCCTGTTCTCTTGCTAGAAATTCAGCAGCAGGATCTACTTCCGTGTCGTTTACAAAATTATCTCCAAATGCGTCCATGATTATCTAACTGATTTAATACAAACAATATGTTACCAAAATAATATTTTTCATACAAATCTTTATAACAATTATGTTATAAACTTGAAATAATAGAATTATAAAGAAAGAATTCTTTTCAGCAGATTAAATCATTTTAACATCTTGTGTCATATAATTTTATATACATTCTAAACTAAAATAGAAAAAGATATAAGTATTGTGCATTTAATTTACTAATTGAAGTATTTTAACATCTTTAATTATATTTTTTATATTAATAAGAAATATATATATACATATATGTCTATATAAAGTTTAATATTATAGGTTAGATTCGAGCACATGACAAATAATGAAGATTAATCATAATGAAAGAAAATAAAACATATTAGTCAGAATAATTAAATATTTTGTAATTACATGAAAATAATTGTATATAATTGAAAATAGAGAATATATATAATTTACAATATTATTATTCAAATGAAAAAAAGTAATTTTCTTAGATATATTTTTTCAATGCTTTTTGATGACTCAGAAATATTAATATGTACTAATATTCGTTATTTAAAAACTACTTACGGTAACACCCCCTTTCTTTAACCTTTTAGATTTCTGTGAAATGTCAATTATAATTTGACAACGTCAATACCACAGTGCGCAGTACACACATGCGCACAGCCACTAAGTATAAAGCATTATTTCTATAACAGTCGATGTTTCCATTTATAGTTGAAAACAGACGAATCAACGTAATCGTATACTTTTATTTCATTTCAATTTGATTTATGATTGGCCTAAACATTTCATTTTTTTTTTAGATCTTATTTTATACTTTAAATCTAAATGTGAACGATTAATTTTTGAACGATCATGGTCCTAATGACCCCTACAATTGTAGATTTTTTAAATATTCGGTGTTTCCAAGGTCGTATGGAGCTTTTAATACTGAATTATAACCTATAAATAAAAAGTAAACAATATTTTTATAGGTTAATCATTTTATATTTTAAATTCGATAGGTGGTAAAAAAATGTAATTATAACTTATAATACTCTTTTTCAGATACTGTTTTATTAATGAATATGTCAAATATTCGTATTGAAAATGGATGATACTTGATATAAAACATTTCTGCTCAATTAATGCTGTGTATTTCCAAAATTTTCAAATGTATATATTCATTTGAAACAAAACACTATATTAAAAAATAAAATATGTAATTAACTGGGTATATATTATACATATCAAATAGATTAAAGAATCATATAAAGTTTTCATGACCTCTCTTTTTATCAATTCAGTGCTATTTAAAGGCACCATTTAATATCGAATAATAGAATTTGGCAACAGGATGATAATGTACTAAACAATAAAAACTATTTACATATTTTGAAATTCATCGGTGCCATTAGCGTTAAGCATTAGAATATTAGGGTTTTCTTTTTCAAAAGCTGTTGCATCTCTTCCACCAGGTCTTTCTTCTTGTCCCCATTCGCCAAGAACTCCACGCATAACATCTGGTTGTTGTCGCAGCTTCTCCTCTTCTTTCTGCGACATTACTAATAGTGTATAGTCAAAAATAACAAAATGAATAATAATTAGAACATTTGTGATCAATTTTAACGATGAAAGTTGAGTTACAAAAATTTCTATTATTGTTGCTACTAACATATAGATATTTATTTTTAAAGTTGTATCGAAAGCCCTCCAAACCCGAAAGGGACGGAGTATAAATAAATAAAAAAAAAGAAAAAAATATTTATTATTAAATTGTATTGTTCAATTAAACATAAATATTGAGACAATAAAAATACAAATGCTTAAAAATAAATACAATATTTAAAAATTAATTTTATAGAGAATGCAGTTGACAAATCATTATTATTATATCAATATTAATATTATTATTATTTTTCACAAACCTGTCTGTCTTGTTGCGCAAATTTTTCGAACATATTTGCATAAAGTTTCTTTTCTTTCAGTATTTCTTTTCTAATCAAATTATTACAAATAATTATTTGTTTGGTAGCAGCTACATTTTTTGGTTCTATTTTTAATACTTCTTCAAAGTTTTCAATAGCTATATCAGGCAATGTTAACGCAAGATAGGCTTGTCCTCTTCTGAAATATGCTTTTTCATTTTGTGGATCTATCTTCAAAGCTTCTACACACGCATCTTTGCATTCTAAGTTTTGATCAGTTTTTAAATAACACAATGCAATATTCAAATGCGTCGATAAAAGTAGACTTTGGCTTTCCGATTTAAGTTCGTTTTCAAATTCTTTGTCGTAGGATAAGAAATCCAAGGCCTTTTTGTACATTTTGATAGCTAAATTATATCTTCCATCTTTGAAGTAATTAGTTCCTTTATCTTTCGAAATTTTTGCCTGTTCTATTTTTTGTGATCCATTTAAATTCCAACTTCTTACGGCCTATATCAATTAAATCATTAATATAATTAGAATCAAAAATAAACTATAGAAAATTCTTCATAATATTTTATCAAGAAGATTATTACCTTTTCAAAGCTTTTCAATTCTACGATATACTCCACAGTTGCCTTTGGTGGAATATTAAATTTGGGTTTACCTTCCGACTTAAATGCATATTTACTTTTTATTTTAAGTTTAGATTTTTCTCCACTTTTGAAACTTTCAAGTGCTTTTTCTACACCCTCTACAATTCCATCTTTTTCTCCTTCTCCAAGACAAAATTGTACATCTCTATCTTCAAAGACTTCGTCGTTATACTTTCCAGTCAAGTGTACTGTTAAAGAAAAATTAGTTATAAATTTTTTGTTATTTTGATACATAAATATAATGAAGTATTTAGAGATCATACATACTGTTTACTAAAGAACCATCACGAGGATTCGAATGATCTTTTCCTGGAGTAATTTGAACTCTTGTAATGCTTCCATCTTTATCAGGGCTTAAATCCTCTTCTGTCCAATCGATCATTTCGATCTGACAATCAATATAAAATTTATTAATTAATTAAATATACTATATTTATCGTTATTTTATTTTTTTTAAATATATTTTCATACATTTATATAGCGTAAAAACATGTTTTCTTTACCTCAAAATTAAGTGTTGCATTGGGAGGAATTTTTGGGGGACTACCGGTCTTTCCATACGCATACTCAGGAGCACATGTTAGCATTGCAACTTCACCTTTTTTCATCGTAGCTACACCTATATCCCAAGCTGCAATAACATCGGACATACCCAAATTAAATTTGAATGGTGCGTTACGGTCTTTGCTTGAGTCAAATTTAGTTCCATCTAACAAAGTTCCAGTATAATGCACTGTTACTGAGCCTCCTACTACTGGAAGCTCATCGCCAACACCTTCTTTTATTATTTCTTTAAGAATACCACCATTTTTGGCAGGTGAAATATCCATCGCAACCATGCTAAAAAAATATTATAAATATATTATATTAATAATTATAAACATATATTAACTTAAAATCTAATAAATAAATAAATAAAACGGTAATGTTATTAAATACTTTCTTTCTAATTTAATATAATAATCACTAATTCGATTTAATTATATACAATGAAAATTATACACTTATGTAAGTAAAATGTTAACAAACAGATCGTGACTTTGAATAAATTCAAATTTAGAGAGAGCTCAATTCGCGAACTAGCATATTACGAAGATATCTTTTTTTGGCCACTACATTTTGTACACATTTTCTTATACACATAATTGTTTTCTAACCCTTTTTTTTAAAATTACGACAATCCCATCTTCGTCAGCAATAATAATTAATTGCATCGTATAACATATATTCCTTCTCTTAAAATTTCATGATTTTCTCTTTTGAATAACTAAGAGAATTGTACTATAATCAAGAACGGTATCTTGCATTTGTCACGTTTTTAAATATGAAATGTGGGAAATAAATTTACAAAATGAAAGTAACACTCACGTATCTTATTGTTAAATAATTTATAAATATCAGTATGTAAAATATTAGTAAAAAAAAAATTAAATATGAGATATAGAAAATTTAATTTAAATATTAAATTTACAAAATGAAATGAAATTTTTTTTTTTTTTTTAAATGAAAATAGAAGTAAAAGTAGATTTTTTTTTTAAATGTGTATTTTATTTGGTATGAATATGAAATAATAATTACACTGCATTTTTTTAAATGAAAATACATTAACATAAATTATAATGATTCAATGAGACAAAAGATTGAAATATAATTGAAATAAAATTATACTCACATTATATAATTGTTTTGATGAAATAATTTGTTATATACTGTCAAATTCTTTCACAGAGATTTAATTATATATCTAATATAAAAGATAGATTTTCGAGGAAAACAATTTTTCGTAAGTCTCGTCGTCTATTACAAACGCCGGGTAAGGGAATTTGCATAGAACTTACTAGAAAACGTACGTATGACAATACAAAAGTCGAAATTGGGTTAACGAGAATATTAATCGATAGTTCTTTCGATTTATTTATTTTGATTCGATTATATTTCGATATCGATATATTCGCCATTTAAAATCTATATTCTAATATTACGATGAAAATATAATATTACAATTATATTCTATTTTAACATTATAGAATCAATGAAATAACTAGGATATATTTTTCTTAAGAGTTACTATTATTACTTAAATACCGATTTAAAGTTGTACACGTATTAATTCATACGATTCAATCTCGTATTAATGGTGTTAAAATTATATCATCGGTAGATCGCAGCTACGTAAACATCTAATCAGATTATTATATAATTAGTTGATTGATGATTTAATATTAAATCAATTACGTAATAAAAATGTAAAAAAAATAATTATACTTATCTAAGCTTGTCATTAAAAAATTGTGTAAGATAAATACGGTGCGTGTGGATTTATTTTCAAAAAACAATGTGTGAAGTGAAGTAGGTTAACTTTATCGATAGTGTTATCAAGCTTTCCAATGCTTGCACACCCGCCACATCGCATTCAGTGCATACTTCAAGTTAGTGGAGCACCGTTTAATCTGGAAACGCATTAATATATTCTTTTTAAATATTTGACTAGTGTCAAATTACAAAATGCTAAGGAAACGAAAATTATCTAATCTGCACAGGAGGTGTCGTTTTTGTTTAGAGGAGCATGATTGTATGAGTAATTTATTCGATGATGGTCTGCAATTGCAAATCAAGGATCTTAGCAAGTGTACCTCCATTGATGTAAGTTGTTTATAATATTTCATTATTTTATCTTTACATTCGTCTTCTTCTTATTATATTTCCTCTTTCTATTAGCTATCAATTGACTCATCGTTTTTTTATATTTTTTTCAGATTAAAGATGAAAAAGGTTTGCCCAGTGTCCTCTGTTATCATTGCTTATACAAATTGAATATGTGGAATGAATTTAGAGAACAATTTATACAGTCTAATGAATTGTTGTTGAATCATTTGGAATTATCCGAAGTATCTGATAATACAGTACGTTTGAATATGTTTAATTCAAATTATCAATTCGTATTATTGCTCACGTTTAAGAATTAATTTTCTGTTAACAAATGTGTTCCTTGAATGGATTATATTTTATTTGTTTGATTAGATGATTTACGTTAAGGTCTTGAAGTATTGTATTTTATTTTTTTATATTATTTCATTACCAATTATTTACTTATTGTTGTAAGAAGTATAAATATAGTTTCTAGAATAAAATTAATATATTTTAGGTATCGCAATATAAAAGAAAACTTGCAGAATTGGAGCTGAGTAGCGATGACATTTTATCTGATTCTAATGACAAGGTATAAATTTAATATTAATTTAATAATTTTAAGAAATTGCGCTATGTTATAATGTGCAGAGCTCTGTGCTTCTTATGTTTGGCCTATAAGATTCACTATGAATAGAGCTCGTGTTCTCATATTTGGATTGTAAAGCGTATCATGAGTCTCATATGTTATAGTGCAAGAAGTTAATTTTATTAATATTCTTTAAAATGTATTTTGTTTTCTAATAATATTTTTCAGAAAAAGTTAAAATCAGAAGTTCCTCCATTAATACCATTGGAATTTGCAAGCGTAGATTGCGTGGCAGATCAGAGTATATTGAAAGAAATGTATATATCAGAGGATGAGCCTGCATCTTCGAAAGATTCATCTCAAAAGACTAATGACAATATCGGTAAGGATAAATTTGAAGGAACTAATGAAAATGAAGGGAATACTCAAGTAAAACCAACTTTAGTACCAATGAGAGTTAAATCTTTGAGTGGTAAGAAAGGTAGAACGACGGAGAGAAGAAAAGCTTCTACCAAACGTTGGGTAGCAAGAAAAAAAGCTCTTTTAGCAGCAACAGGGGAACGTGCCTCAGATACTGATTCTATTTCTGATGATCAATTATCACCTGTACAGAAAGCAAGAGCTAAAACAAATGCGGATAAAGAAGCTGAGAGACAAAAACGATTAGTCAAAGTACTAAAAAATTTAGAAAGTAATATAAGTAGTAAATATGATGTTAACCACGATAGCGACAACATTAGTATAGATACAGATTCAGATTCTAGAAGAACAAGATCTCAAACAGCGGTCAATAGTGATGCTGTGTCCAGTGAGACTAAAAGTCCATCTACGAAGCGAGATAATATGCAAGAAAAAATGACAAATAAATCATTTCTACAAAATGTGGAAAAAGACAATTCTTCTATTTTTATCCAGGAGTGCGATATTACAGATGAATCTATCAAAAAGGTTCAATCAAATAACGACCAGGACGAATTTTTACCGCATTCAGTGAAATCTGAATTAGAAGTCGGTGATGCGAAATATATCGTAACAATGACATTGGAATTGACTAAACCGGAATACAATAACAAAATGCATTTAAATAATTTACCTAAAGAATCCAAAACTTTAAATATAGATGAAAATAGTCAAGAAAAAAATACAGATATCATTGATGCTGTACAGTTACGTAGGATTCATCCAACGACAAATGATTCTAATGATAAAAAGTTTATTGAAAAATGTTTGAACATAGAAGTGGAGGGAAAAGAATTAGAAATTCTTAAACAAATTCAGTACGAATTAGCTGACTTTATTGAAACAAAAGTAAAATATAGATTGTTTGGATTAAATAGCAACGATTTAAACAATGAAGAATTACAAAAATTCTATAGCTCATCTTATCAAGCATTAGATCAAAAATTAAAAAATATTATTGAAAAAACGATAAAGAAAAATAGTGAAGGCTCATTTAAATCATTTGAATTTCCTAATAGCCAATCCAGAACCGTTTCGGCAGAATTTGTTAAATCAGCAATGGTATCAGAGAAATTTCAACCTTCTGTTGTATTAAAGGTTTTAGATTTTATAGAGGAAAGTAAATTTCATAAAATTAATAATTTACACGTTCTCGATAAGCAAAAACCTATAAACAGAATGAATAATCCTTTTGAAATTTTACATCATAAAAGAAAAAGAGTGCCATCTAAAAAATACAATGATTACAATACATCTACTATGGATTCAGATTCCAATGAATCGGAAGAAATTATTTCGCATAAGTTATCGCCTAATCCGAAAGTATATTCGTCATCTGCTAAAAAAGAACTAGAGTTGAAGAAACAATCAGTTCAGAAAATTTCAGAACATAATATCTTAATAACATCAACACCCGTTGCCAAAAAATCTACAACTTCATTTCGACAAAGTATAGAAAATCGTAGGAATTCAACGAATACCAACTCGATGATAAATGCAAAACACGTTTGCGGTGTATGTAATTTATTTTTCAATGACCGTTCGGAGATCGAGGTACATATGAAATTGCATAAAGTGGACAATACTATTTCACGACCCAGCAAACATAAAATGATGCGTTGTAAAAGATGTCACGAAATTGTAGAGGCTAGATTTGTAAAATCACACGTATGTCGTTCAACGAAGCAATTACATAAATGTTATGTATGTAATTTTGTATTTAGAACAGAAAAGTTATTAGCGCATCATTTAGAAAGTCACGATAAATCCGAATTTAATATTGATAATATAGCTAAAGTTGATTCTAAAAAATTGTCAGATACAAGTAATCGAAACACTTCAATGCTTGGTACTGCAGTTAAGGATCAAATGAAAAAATCAATTGTAGGTACTAATATGAAAACAGTAGAAAATACTGCATTAGAAAGTATAATTATTTCTAAGGGCGCAAAATTAGATGGAATGAAAGGTATTGAGAAACCTAAAAATACCTATACTTGTTTTGTATGTGATAAACTTTTTACAGACGAGGAGGTACTGAAAGATCATTTACAAAAACATTGCGAAGAGATGAGTGAAGATGAACATAGTACAGGAAAAGAACAATACCAATGTGCGATTTGTGGCGATTCCATGGAATCGGAAGATGCACTTGGGGTACACGTAGAAAAACATCTTTTTGATGACGAAGACGACAATCCTAATCTTATTACGATAGGAACTGAGAATGATAAAGCAAAAGAATCATCTCATCAATGTGCACAATGTTCAGAAACATTTAATTCAGAAATATTATTAGAAATACATATGCAAGGACACGCAGAAGAATCTGCAATAGAAGAATGGGAGAAGCAAGGAATGAAGGCATATGAATATCAATGTATGATCTGTGATGAATTATTTGAAGCTGAAGAAGAATTGTCCGAACATTTGGATGTACATAATAGCAATGCGCATGTATGTCAATTATGTGAAAAACCATTTCCAACGCTTCTAGATTTACAACAACATGTTGCAACTCACTGATATAAATATACCACAACTTTACTTTTGATATAATAATAATTGTTATATATTAATGTTAATCTAATGTAATGACATAAGATTAAAAAGTTACGTGGGTTTTCTTTTTTATGTAAGATTATGTAATGAAAATTATTGTTAGTATAAATGGTTAAGAAATTAAGGAAACATACAATACAGGAGAATCGCATATATATGCATACATTCACATATTTACGATTATTTTATTTTAAATATCTGTTAAGTATATGATCAATATAGTTATTTAATTTTCATGTACATGTTTTATAATATATATATATATATATATATATATACATATATTTTTGATTTAATAAAGTCTCACTTTGGGATCTAGTTTCTTTAAATTTGAGGGAATAATTTATGTCATATCAATATAATTCAAAGAACATAGAATTTAAGTGATATATTAGAATATATAACTTATAGTACTTTTGTACTATTAAAATAAAATATAAATATATATATGAATTTTAGATTTTAGTACATCTAATATTTGTACGTAAAGAGTTTCTGTAAATATATATGCATAGTAAAACTTACGTTTTGATTTTTAAAACTAAAGTTGTTATTATTAAAAGCAAAAATAAATATGTGGTCATGTTTATAAAATAAAATATAAAAGTTAAATATTCATTTATTTTTAAATAAACACATTTTTTTGGATAACACATTTAAAACTAATATTTTAAATTAATATCTATACAAACAAATGTAATCATTTTATCTGGATATAATAGTTTTAAAATACAGCTCAAATTTTTTCTTATAAATATGACTACCTATAATTAATTATATGCAATGTAAATTAAACATATTTTGTAAATAATTAAATAATTACAAAGGAAGGAAAGAAGAAAAAACAAAAAGGGTTGTATACTATATTTTTTTAATTGCTATTTAATATAAATCCGTTGATATTAATACTGGAAAATATAATAATAAAGAAAAAAAGAAAAAAGAAAATTTGGAAAAATTAATACAGGCAATGATGTAGAATTTGCGCGTGCATTTTTTTATACAATTATTTACCCTAAAATAACAGCGTTATTAAAAATATAGTATATATTTTATACATAGGACATTTATTAGATATACATAGTAAATTTTTATACAGAAGGTAAATTCTACATAACAATTTATGAAGTTTTTCGGATATTCTTCATATAGACATGATTTTTTTAAAGGATTAAAAAGTAATTGATTATAATAATCAGTCGTAGGCTGAATTGAAAACCTTACTATATTCTACTTTATTTACATAAATATTGTGTACAAGGACACGCATGATTTTATTTATAATTAACTTTTATTTTTTCTTTTATTATAACATACGTCGTATATCTTCTGATTATTACCTGTTAATTATGAATTTTTATAAATTAAAATACATAATTTTAATCGAAATCTATTTTCTACACGTATTTTGAAATATTTTGAAGAAAATGTTTTCCATCATAACTTAATAAATTATAATACATGGCTTTTGTGTATTTTATGAAAATTATTTTTATTTTTTTTTCCACTTTTTTCTTTTTGTTAACGTTTATAAAATATTCCAATGAAATTGTCAAACGTAAACGCCTAATAATGATTTTTAAAAAAGAAAAATGCATTACAATAGTGTATCTAACACATTGGTCCTTTAATGATGCGTTATATAATGTCAAATAACTTATAGTATTATTTATATTTTACAATCAAGGACACATATGTTATAATTCACTTCGCTTGTGCTTACGTTTCAATTTTTGGATGAAAACACGTTAACGCGAAATATGAAATAATATATTTTCATGAAATCGTATATTTTTAAATAAGGAATATACACAATTTATATTTTAAGAAGTAGAAGAGAGAAGAAAAAAAAAGAATACTTTGAAAATAATATTCTAGTCTTATTATTTTGTATATAAAAAGACATATTATATATGTACAAAGCATATCATATATGTATATATGAAAGTGTGTATATGTATATGTTAAAGGTTTGATATTTAAATGCTTACAAATTTATGCAAAAAAAAAAAACAACTTAATGACCAATACATATTTTAAGTAGAACAATGCTAGTCATTGACTTTTGTGTTTTAAATAATATTTGAATAACAAAAGAATATTCTTGGGTCCCGAATTTTTTTGTTATTTAGTATGTATGTATGTATATATATATATTTTTTTTTTTATTTAATTTAAGTATATTTTTAGAGTATCCTAACATATACCTTGTGTCGCATATACACTGTGACATTTTACCTAATAACTTGAAATATTACTAAGTTCTTAACTCTATTATGTACAATGACACCATATAGATAAGTGTAAGGTTTCAAAGGTACGCTTTTCTTTTTGTTTTTTTTTTTTTTTTTTAATAACAATAAATTAAATAAAAATTGTCTTCAGCCAAAAAGATTCTTCTTAATTGTAACAATAATAGCGTGTTACAAAATGAATGGACTGTACATCATTACTCGAAGATCTAAGAAGATTTGCATACATGTTATTCGTATTATTTTAATTGTTAATACTAATAATGAATTTTACTAACTTATAATCTATCTAAACAAAAAAATTGATTAACTGCAATCAGAAGATGTTGTTGGTTGTTGTTTCTCTTCTTATTATTTTCTTTCTCTCTTTCTTTTCTTCTGAGATCTTTTATCCAAAGAACTCATATATTTTCATTTAACTATCTTTGATATAAAAAACAGAAAAAAACAGTCACGTGCGACTGTTCCTTTTTTTTCTTTCATTTTTTTTTTAATTTTATATTCACAGTTAATTGTGAAATTTTTCAGTTTACGCAAACCATATATATATATATATATGTATATGTATATATACCATCGTGTCACACACGAACAAAATAGTGTAAAATTTCTTTTTCCTAACAAAAATAAACTTTTTTTTAACGACGTTACATCATCGAAGAATAATAAAAACAATAAGAGATAACTAGATTTTGTTCTTTTTTTTTTCTTTTTTTTAATAAATTTTTACTCTTTAAGTAACCAGGAAAGGAATTTTGTTTAGAAAATTTCAATAATTTGCATAAACTATTGAGATAATAATTCTACGTAATTTGCAGGATAAAGACCGACTCTACCGTCTTTCCTTCCTTTACACCATCCCTGCTCGTCTTCGTCTTCCAATTTTTCAAATACATCACCTTTAATTAATAAAAAAACGTTGAATGTAAAATTTGTTTAAGGTTTGTAAAAAAACAAAAAATAAAGTAAAATATAAAATAAATATATAGCAAAGCTATTTAATATTAATAATGAAATGTTAATAATCTTAAATGAATGTAATTAATAATTTGCTGATAATATAACATACAATATATACCTTGTTTAAAACTAAGTTCGTCAGCTTCTGCACCTTCGTAATTATACAAAGCTTTAACCGGAACTCCTGGTTCTCCACTGTCTACTAATGGTTCACCACCATCCTCGTCCCATTCCTCTTCCTCGAATGGATTAGATTCCTGCTTTGTATTATTAGTACCATTCCTAAAAATTAAATCAATAAATATATAATATTCTAATTAAATAATTATAATTTTTTAATGTTATTTGTAACGTGTACACTCTATATAAACATTAATTATATATTATATTAATAATTAATATAAACTCTTACGTAATTGTAGAACTTCTATTAACGCCACTACTTTCGTGATTAATTTTTTCCGATGATTGTTTGCTCGAATTAATAGTATCTGTTTTATTATCATTGTGAAGTCCATCCGTTGATATAACACGACCAGCAGATTTTGACTTTGATTTATGATTGACTGGAGGGAATTCCTAGATTGAGAAAGAAATCAAAATAAATCAAATTTAAATTTATATATTTATATTGATACTTAGCGTATATATATAATGTAATTGTGCCTCCAATAATATATAAAAACATTTGCTTATGTATACGTGTATTTGTGCGTATGACCAAGTATTTAGCATGTATCGAATAATCTTATTTCATTCATATTTATATATATAGCTCAAGTGATAAATGTATATTTACATAGATATTGGTTTTGAAAATTTGATCTGTACAATGTGTAACAAAGATGTTAGAATGATTTGGAGTTATGATTGCAGCCCAATAATAATACAAAATGCATATATTTAAGAAAATGTTTTCTTATCTAAAGTTATGTAACATGTATATATATAGAAGTATGCAATAATATTATATATAAATATATAAGAGAATTGACGATATTAATTGAAAATGAATAAATATCTTATAATATAGTAAATAATTAAAGCAAAGTGTATAAAAATATATAAAGTTAGAGATGACTTTAGTACAGATTCCCCTTTGAATAATTAAACTTAAACTTGAAAAAAGTTTAGGATATTAAATCTGTTTATATTACAATCATTTCTACATCAAGATAATATTTAATACGTGTACCTGTGCGATCAATTTGAATAAAAAATTATTTAGTGAGTAAGCGTGAAGCGTATATTATAATAGTTAATAACACTTACAATTAGTGAATGAAATTAGCGAACAAATAAGCTATAAAAAGAGGAAATTATAAATAAAGCTTAATTATTGGTGAGAGAGCTCATGCACCATTGCCATCCACCTTTTATAACTTGCAATTTGTGTGTGTATATGTGTTTTCTTTCTTTTTTTCTTTTACATAAGTACAATTTGTGAAAGATTTCGTGTCTCCGAATTTGCTTTCATTCCTCCGTTAAAGGCGAGGTTTTAAATGTGCATGTACTATGTTAGATACTACGCATATATATATATATTTGTAGATATCTCGTAACAGTTAACAACAAAGATGGTAAAACGCTAGGGTTCTCATGTAAACTTAAACAAAACTTTACATGCAGATCCTCGCCGACCGGTCGTTGATTGATGAGAGTGATGGATCCAGCTGGAAGTGCCTCCTTTGACTTCGAACCCTTGGTGATGTCACGGAATTCCTCTGTGTAGTCCTGCATAATAATAGCAACGCCCAAACAATCACATGCATGCATTCCGGAAAGTCTTTATGGGGGTTTTCTATCTAAGCTTAAAAGATCTCTTCATCGTGTAGCTAATGTAAGATTTGATAAATTAGATATCGACCGATAGAAATATTATATTTATTATAGTCAGTCGTAAAAGTTTTGTTTCTTTTATTATACATTTCATTGAATTGTACGTATACATTTAATTTATCTCAACATGGTAATTACAATCGTAAGATTTTCATATCAATAAATAATGCGAATCCTTGAGTTTATTTTAAAGACAGAAAGAGATAATTAAAATGCATTAAGTGCATGAGAAATTAGAATTAAAAAAAAATGGAAATAAATAATAATGTAAAGAAAAAGTTCTATATATTATAACAAAACCATAGTTATTAATTAAATGTTGATATGATAGAAACAATTTTGATACTTGTTATTTTAGTTTCTATTAATACTTTGACATTTGTATCTAATGATCAAGATTTTTTCATCCGATATTAGCATTTTTTTTCGATAGTTTTGAATATGACATCAAAGAGGTCTTATCAGCATTTGTTCAATAGTTTTCAGGCGACACAAACTTAGTGTCACCAGACGACATTGTGTTAATTGATCGAATATATGTACAATTCTATGAACGTACGAAGAAACTTTTTTTGATCTGATTATAGTTCGATGGGCTTTATCAAAGTACGAAGTTACTCTCTCAACGTTATTGACCTTTAACATCAATGAAATTGTATGCATCTATAGGAACAGGTACTAAGCTTTTAACGACACAAATATTAGTTTAAAAAACCAAAAACAAAAGTAAAAAAAAATGATAATAATAATAATATATCTGTAATCATCAACAAGCATGAGATTTTTTATATATATATAAGTATTGTTGAAAGACACATATGTAAATATAATTGATTACAACGTTGCAGCGTTTATTGTTTATTTTTTTAAAGCTGGTTGATGATTAAGAAAATTTAAAAATTAAAAAATTAAAAAAAAAAGAAGGGTGTAATATTCAAACGAAAATAACATAAAAATTATTAATTTTTTAAGCTTGCAAAAGAATTTGACATAAGCGTATTTCAATAGCGTAATTTCAATTTCATATGTCGACACATAAATTGATATACGATTATTACAACATTCATAAAATGAAACGATGATAGGTCGTTAGACGTTTATCGAGAGCAATATTGTTATTTTAATCTATGCCCTATTTTCTTAATTTTTTTTTTTTTTCAAGAAGAAGAAAAATTCAATTCGAGATCAATTTATTTAACATTTATCATTAGAGAGAGAGAGAGAGAGAGAAATAAAAAAAATAGGTAATAGACATGGATCGTAAACAAATTCTTTTGTCGACAAATGCTCATTCAATCGTTAATGAAAAATATAAATTAGGAATAATAAAAATCGACATGTTATAAAATAAACGATCATATGTATAAAGAAGAGTAATAGGAGTGATGTGTATATATATATATTTATCATATATATTATTTATCATATATATATATATATATATATACACATATATATTTAAAACCCACGCTACGGCTATGCGTTCTCTAATGGCAGATTTCCAATTACGAGCAGAAATTTGCATGCATTAGTGTTTGGTTTGTTTTTTTTTTTTTTTTTTTTTTTTTTTTTTAATTGATATACATTTTAATCAATAAATTACCTCAAATTGTGGCCAATTCATAGCCATGTTTATGCCATGATTATTAGACCACCATTTAAGATCCTTTTCGTGATCGGCGTTATTAATCGTATGGTAAAATTCTTCATAAATTTGTGGAAGCCTAAAAAACAAACAAACCAAATGAGATTGAAATAACTAAAAAAAGAAAAAGAAAAATAAAAAAAAAAAGATGAAAAGAAGAAAATATAACAATGAAGTATACTTACACTGGATCCTGGGATATATTGAGGCACTTGTGAATACCAAAAAGAACTTCTTTGAAGAATTGAAGTCGTTGGGCCTCCATTTCTTGACATTTATCAAAAACTTGTGACATATCCTCCATGTATTTAGGATTATATTGATTTATTTCTTGAAGAGCGGCTTCGTATTTTTCTTTTGCCTTTTGTACTTCTTCTTTCGTCTTCTGGACTCTGTCTTGCATTTTCTTTACCTGTATCAAAATAATAATAAATATTATGTTTCTTTTTTTTTTAACTGTGTAATGTAACGATAACACGGTTTTATAGCTTTGGAGATAAATTGAAGGTAAAGATTACTTAGCAGAAACTAACGCATGTTGATGAACACACACATTGATAAATAATGTTATAATATACGTTTATATATATATCGCGAATAAAATAAAATATATACGTATCTAAAAATAAAATTAATTTTTACGTAGTCTGTGTGTGTGTGTGTGCGTGCGTGCGTTGCTGCAATTCTTTACCTTCTAATTTATTTTCGCATCGTAAACAAAGCTGTAAAAATAATGCCTTTGGGAGTTATCAACTTAGAAAGTTTATCAGTGAATCTCTAAAGTTCGAACTATTACGAGTGCTAGCGAAATCTAAGGATAATACATTATCGCTCGTAGTATAATATAATATACAGGGTGTCTTGTAATTAGTGGTGAAAGCAAGCAAGTGGTAAAAGACACGGGTACTTGACAATTTATCAAACTTATTTGTCTCCCAACCACAAAAAAAAAAACACAAAGCTTTATATGAACAAATTTGAGAGATTCTACATTTTTAATAAATTTTTATTGTTAGTATTGTAATCGTGACTCATAGAAACAAAGAGAATGTATTCTGATGCCTAGGAAAAATTGGATGAATTTTTCAATTTCCGACTTTGTTTGAAGGCTCTTTGCATTGATGAGAATGTTGAGGAATTATCAACAATGGCGGATTTCCGGCTATGACGGTAACATATATATAAAATAAAATTGGTTACCCCGTGTTTATACCATCAGTTACAGGACACCCTGTATATATATGTATATACCATAAATTTACTAACTTAATATTAAAACAGTGATATTAATATAAATATTACCGATACTCATTACTCCAACTATTACGTTTATTAAATATGTGCATAATTTGTGCAATTACAGAAAAAATTAATTAGAATTAAAAGTGAACAGAGCCTTTTACGAGCTAATAGATAAGTGAATATAAAATAAAATATAAAGAGAAAAATATATAAATTGAAAAAGGATCATCGAATTTATTTAAATGTTATTAGAAAGGTATGGGTTTTTTTTTTAGTTGTAATGGGGGGTGCAAATAAACCAAAGAAAAAAAAAATACAAAATAAATAAATACAAAAAAGGGATAAAATAATAAACGTTTTTCTTTAATGTGTATACCGCAATACATTCCTCGGATTCGATTAGATATTAAAATATATTTCTATAGATAGATATTAAAGAAGATATTCGAATATCTCAATGAGGAATCTAACCAAGCGAATAATACAAGGGTAAAAAGGTATTTTGATAATCGATATTGCTTACCAGCAGAGCTTTCTGTAATGAGAGAGACAGAGAGAGAGAGAGAGAGGGCGATAGAGGGAGGAAGAGAGAGAGAGAAAAAAACAAGAAAAACATGAATTAATAATCATGCCGCATGCAACATCATATACATACAAGCTGAACGTCCCCTATTTTAGAATTCCTAAGGCACTCTCGTATTCTGAGGCCCCATGCATCACCACATCCACACTCAGTCATCTAAAAACGTTGTTAGCTAATTTTTTCAAAGTGTCTAATCACTTTCCTAATTTATTTTCCGACCTATTCCAAATCGTTAACACAATCGTGAAGTGAGCACGAGTAACAAATGTTTTATTTCTTTTTCTTAAAAATGAAATAATAAAATCTAAAGAAACGCATAATTATAGTTGTCAATGCTAGTACGGTGTGATGGATTTTCTTTTTCTTTTTGGGTTTTTATTTTTCTTTCTTGCGCGTGCATGCTCAACGTAATTAATTAAAATACAATATATTTTGCTATAAAATATCTACTTTTCTTTGGTAAAAAGAAATGATTTTTAGAAATTATTTCTCTAAATCGAAATAGAAAGGATTGAGGCACAACACTCATCGCATTTTAATACTTAAAAGATATTGTTTATAACAATTAGAAATAGAGATTGAACGATTGCAAATATCGAATAAAAGACAATAAAATAGTGACGCATGCAACTCTGTTAATATAGGATTTGTTAACATACGTTTTCAGAGCCTCGGGCCATCTGAAAATAATTATTGCTAAAGAGAAAAACAATCGAGACTACTTGTAATATACATATATTCACATGTGCATAATAGTGATGCACGCTAGCCAATGTAGACACACACTCGTATACACGTGAAAATAGAAGAAAACAAAAAAAAAAAAAAAAAAAAAAAAAAAAAACATAATTTTCTATATAAAATATTAATTCGATTTGAACGATCTTTATTGTAATCATGAGATAAACATTTTTATTAAGATATTTTATTAAAAATATATTTTACAAGGGGACGAGCCAAGTTAATAGAAAACCCATATCTTTTTTTTTTTTTTTCAATTCTACATAAGAGTGATTATTGTGCTCGAGTAGTAAGACACCCTAATACTTATGAGTTTTAAAGAAAACGAAAAGAGATGTTTCACGTTACACGTTATTATATTTTTTTAGCTCGTTTTAGATGAAAAAAAAAATAAATGTTTAACAATTTAATCGAAGAAACTAATAGATGGGTGGGTTGAAAAGTTTTGAGCCTAAAAACATGAAACTTAGCTCTCCCCTTGTTAAATTCGAAAAATAATCTACAATTGGCATCGAATCGGTGCAATGGGGTGTTTTTTTTTTCTATATATATAAATAATAAAATAATAATATTAATATAAAAATCGCTATATAAATATTGTCTATCGAATTTGATTTCAAATTGTTGTAGACAATTATTTTATCGTACGTATTTTTCTTTTTTTTTCTTTCTTTTCTTTAATTAATTTTTTTGTTCATTTAACAACTGGTTTATCGTGTATTCATTATTTCAATGCGGGTACTCTCCTCCTGGTCGTAAAATAAATGTACGATTATCTACATCAATTATTATTCCTTGAATATTTTTTACCTTCGTATTACGCGAGTAATATCGCAAATAAAATAATTAAACGATATCAATGGGAGGAAGATTATTTTATCAATGGTCTAGATTCTTTGATCCTTTTAAAAAATGAACAGGCATGATCAAGATGACGTTTAATATACAAAATGATTCATTCTCAAGTATGCAATTGAAATGATTTCTTAATTATTTGTTAGACGAAGGAAAAATAATGTTTTTCTAAAACAAAAATATTATCGAGGGTTATCGACACACAAAGGAAGGAATAATTAATTTTATTCTATTTCATTTTGCTTTTTTTTTTATTCAGATATGAAGATCACTAAGAAATATTTTATTAAAATGAGGTTGAGGAAGGTCAAATTTGAAACTGGCAATTAAAAACAGAATATATTAAAAGTAAATTACATTTCTATACATTCTAATAGATTTTTTTTTAATTTTATACTCCAAGTTTAATACTCTTTCAAGGTTATTCTCTTCCTATCTCGATAAAAAGAATATAAAAAAAAAAGAAATAAAGAAAACAAGATAGCAGAAAATTAATGATTACTAAATCTTGTAACCCTTTTAAGATATTACACAATTATTATATTAAATATTTTTGTTATATTACAAATAGTTTAGAAATATAATTTGTGTGGCACAGTTTAGGTGAATCACACTTGTACATTAGACGTCGAAGAAAAAGTAATGATTAAATGTATTTATATATACATATATATATGTAAGTTATATATATGTGTGTGTATGTAATGACTCAACTACAATAGATAACGCGTTCTTTGTGAATAGAGTTGATCGTGACGCGAATATAGAAAAAAAAAATAAAAAAAAAGAAGAAAAAAATAAAAAATAAAAGAAGAATAGACAAGGACGAACATAATCGTAAGAACAAATTACCTGGTCTGGTGAAAGAGAACTATCAGCGGAAGCATTCCTCTCCATGTTAGCTGCAGTTCGTTCAGTTTTGCAGCTGTTGTGATATTCAGCTTTGGCTTTCTCGACTTTTTGTAATAGTTTAGCCCATGGTTTTTGGGCTTTTTTAAACGCGTCTTCCATTTCCTTCCGCTCTTTGAGGGTCATCATCGACTGCAATACAACATCGGCGAGATATTACGAATAATAACGCATACCTACATGAAAATAAATCAATTGTAGCTTTTGTTACCCCCTTTTCCTTCTTTTTATTTCTTTTTTTAATTGGATCGTTAATCCCAAATTATCATTGACGTTAAGAAAAAAAAAACAATTTCCATAGGTATAAGAGACATTTTTTAAAAATTATTTTGTTGTTATACAGAACCGGTTCGAGGATTACACGTTGCATCTTTTTTTATCATAGTTTTGTTATCAGTTTCGTTTTATTTGTTATTTTTATTAAAATAATATGATGCTTGATAAAGGTCGGGGAGGAAAGGGAAGGGAAGGGGGAAATTTAGTAGGCGATATAGAAATACCATAAACGAGTAACGATACTCGCAATACAATTTTTATGGGACACGGTTGATTAATATATTACATCAAAGTTATTATTGCAGGAATTTTGTTTAAGGGGTTATTAATATTATTTAACAATTAATAATTTTGTTTTATGTCCCTAGGTCATTGTACTTTAGGTATTTTATTTTTAAACCTAGAACCAGTCCTGAATTTTGATCGAGAAAGAAAAAAAGAATGACTGATTGTATTATTAATATTGTTTTTACCTTGTGATAGGTATCCTTTTGCCATGTCTTCACTTGTTGAATGATATCGTTGCAAAGGTTTTCCTTAACCCTAAGATGAAGGTCACACAACCTGTCAGACTCGACCAGAACACCCTTCCACGCAGCTTCCGTAGTTCCATACTCTGGACCCTTTTCAATCTTGTCGTTCCAATTTTTCGACCAATTTTTCAACGCTTTTGCGTAACTTTTTTCGATTTCTGCTCTTTCCTGAACCAATGCTATTAGACTATCGCAAAGTTTGTGACCGTCCTCGATCCTTTTGGTCGTTCTCTTGTAATTTCCCGGCTCCCAGAATGAATCTGACGTTGCTATGAGCATGTTATCGTCGCTGTGGTGTGACATCCTAATCTAAATTGAGAAATTCCTCTCTCAACTGAAAACACAAAAGGGTAAACAACAATATTTCAAATTATTATTTAAATTATTTTCATTAATTTAGATTTAATTTGACATAATCATTGACATTGGCTTAAGGCAGGGCTTCTTAAACTATGGGTCGCGACCCCAAATGGGGTCGCGAGAGATTTTAATGTCAAATATTTATATATACCATTTTATAACATCACTAGAGTTGGCGGAATACAGTGGACTTGCAGCGTCTAGACACGTGCATTTGTTGAAGGTTTTGAGCTATCTCCACCGACAGCAGTAATATTTGTATGGGGTCGTCAAGAAACCCGCAATCATAAATGGGGTCGTGAATGACAAAAGTTTAAGAAGCCCTGGCTTAAGATAACAGCCCTAACAGTAAAGAATAATAATAATAATAATAATAAATTGAAAATAATACAAAGATTCTCAATTACAAATGAAGATATCCGAAAGAAAACAAAGATCAGAGACATCGTCAGAAAAATAATTGGATTGAAATTGCAATGGTTAGGACACGTTGTGAGGTAGAAAGATGAAAACGATGGTAAAGACAAATTTTTACATTCGACATCTCCGAGGGAGACTAACATAAGAGAAGTAAAAGACAGATCATAACTAAAATGGGTAGATGACATCAAACAGGCAGCTGGTATTTTAACTGGCATCAAAAAGATCCCTGAGTAGACGAAATTGGAAGAAATTAGGAAAGGTTTTCTATGTTCAGGAATAACCAAATAAAACAAAAGTTAGAAAATAAGAAGAAGAAAAAGAATTATATGGATTTTTTTTTTAAAATTACTTGAACGTTTTTGTAATTAATTTTGATTACAAATCTTTGCCATTAATATAGATTTGATTTTAACCTTATCGTAATATTTGATTTATAACGAAACGTGGAAACATACGAATGGGAAGAGGGGTGGGGTGGGGGGGGAGAGAGAATTTAAAATGATTTATGTCAATTTCATTTCTAATGAAATAATCAAAGGAAATGAATTTGAAAGGTCGAGGATGAACGTCACGTGTCTAGTTTTCTACAAATGTATATCCCGACGTATTTGAGCTGACTAGAGTCGACGTAATTGGATTATGAGTTAGTCTGGATCATCGATTGGCCCGATTTGCGAAGCCATTATAAATCTAACCTGTGTGTATGTGTGTGTGTCTCTCTCTCTCTCTCTTTCTTATTATATATTTTAGAATTAAGTCAATTACGCGAATGAATAATTTTTTTTTCAAACGAATATAACAAAAATTAAATATACCAATATACATTTAATATATGTAATAATAATAATAATAATAATAATAATAATAATAGAGAGTATCTCTTAATTACTTTTCACAATATTTTATTTCAGTCTATTTTATAAGTAAATATAAGAAAAGAAATATTAAATAATGTTGGTGAAAATTGTACGGGGAAAATAATTGGGACACCGTTGTATAAATTATATTTTGCTACATTGCATTATTTTATACATATATAAATATATTATTATCTTTTGTTTTTTATTTTTTTAACGATAATCGTGTCAAATTTAATTTTTATTAATATAAATTGTTAATATTTCCAATACATTAGTGAGATATTCATATTAAGGTACGAATGTATGAATGATATGATTTTACATTAATGAAATTCTATTTGCCAAGATATTATTAAAGAATGTATTAAAGGAATTCTATTGGTCAAGAGAAATTATTAAGGAATGTATTAAAGGAATTCTATTGGTCAAGAGATTCTTAAGAAATGTATAAAAAGTTGTCAAGGCTCTTAGCCAAAAAGTATAACAATATTTTGTAAAAATATAATAGAAATGTCTTTTTGCGAGTTTGTTCAGAAGAATTAAATTTAATAATTTGATGATGGTCCTCGTCGTTTCTTAGATTATAGGATATTTCTGAGTATTGGAAAAAAGAGAAAGAATAATAATAAGAAGACGAAGAAATAGAAGGAAGAAAAAGAAAAAGAAGAAGTTGAAAAGTCATTCCCCCTACCCCTTTACGGTTCTTTCCGCTTTCAACTTCTGCGAAAGATAGGGTAATTTAAACTAAACTATCGGACTCGTCGTCTGACCTCGTATTTGCTCTACTTCATCGATCTTTTATCATAAAATCCTACCTCGTCATCGTATTTCTTTCTTTTTCTTGTTTCTCCATACCCTCAACCCCTACCCTACCCCATCCCATCCCTCTTTCTACTTCTTTCTTTTCTTATTGCAGAGAAGAAAAATAAGAATTCTTTGGTACTTATTGAAACTACACAGTAATCTTATTTTCCTTATGTTCTTGTTACAATAATCAAGAAGGGGGGAAAAAAATATACAGGATGTTCCAAAAGGAGGGTTTGTATTTTTGTTTTGTTATAACTTACAAATCATTCATTTCAAATTACATCTACAAAAAAAATATTAACTTATTAAAATGTATACATTGTGTATTATCCTTGATCTAAAATCATATTGTTTGTATTTATCAAATGTATAAAGCATCAAAAACATTAAAAGTATTAAAAGTATGAAAAATGAAGAACTTGATTATAAATTCGAAATCAAAGTATTTTTTTCATATAAACTTTTAAAATTACGTTAATTTTAGGATTGTATCTTTGAAATTAAACAGAAACAAATAGTATGAGAGTACCCTCTCATCTGATGTATGCTGGTTAAGGAGAAAACATGAAAACGAGTAGAAGTTTGATGACGATGTTAATCGGTTGACCTAATTAACGTGCTCATCGAATTATGGAGATAATTTAACACTTCGATGGTTAGAATCTTGCTTAATATGCTTTAATCACTCCTCTCGAAATTGCAAGTATGGTGCATCGACCTCTTTGGTAAGCACATATCTATTTCTATATATATATGTTAAAGTCAAAGCTGGAAATCAGTCATTGCTAGTAATTCTTTGGCATTACTATGAATGCAAAGAACCTTCAGACAAAGTTGAAAATTTCTTTCAGTTTTTCCTAGGCATCGAACATAATACTTTGATATTCTATAGAATAACAAATTACTATTTAAACAACGTAGGAAAAGAATAAATTCTCGGGCACAGACACACACACAGCCATACGCAACCCTTCCCCCCAAAAACTTTTCAAAGAAATATCAGAGATTGCAATGCTGTAAATTGTGCATCTTTGCAATTTCTTTGAAAAGTTTTGGTAAATATTTTTTATACTTTTAGCAAATGGATTTTAATGATTTTTATATTAAATTAAAGTACACTCTTTTGTCTACGCGTAGAACACCATATCGAGTTATAAATTTAGCATGTAAAGTTCAGAAAATGTCAGAGAATGCAATGCTGTAAATTGTGCATCTTTGCAATTTCTATGAAAACTTTTAGTAAATAATTTTTATATTAAAAGTGAATAGATTTTAATAAAACTTGTATTAAATTAAAGTACACTCTTTTGTCTACGCGTAGAATACTTTGTCGAGTCATAAATTGATCTGCAAAGGTTTAAAAAATGTCAGAGAATGCAATGCTGTAAATTGTGCATCTTAGCAATTTCTTCGAAAAGAAACAAAAGAATTGTTTGACTTTTGCATTAAAATTTATACTCGATTTAATATTAATATATATTCTTCAATCGGAAAAATTCGTAAGATTAATTTTCAGAATGTTTAAAATAAAGTTGGGGAAGGAAATGGTGGTAGTGGGTGTGGTACTCATTCCTTGATTTAAAAAAAAACAACTAAAAAATCAAAAGAGAAATAGTACGAAAATATAAAACACGTTGCTAGTGAATTTATTTGACAAATAAATCAATCAATCAATTACGATTACTCTTTAATGCATTCACATTTATTCGTACTAATATTTTATTTCTCCGAATTGACGCAATCATTGAAAACTTTTGATCGAAGTTAGCACGTGTTGATAATAAATCATCTCGAGGATTAAATTAACGAATTAATTTCTAACAATATAAATTTATAAACGGTAGGAAATAATAAAAAAAAAAAGATCGAATTATTGGTCAGGATTATTTATGAGGAAGAATCGATTGATTGATTGATCGATACATCGATCATCATAAGTATCATCAAGTAGTTTAAAGTTTATCGAACTATACTGAATTAACAATTGATCAAAATCGTGCCTTTGGGTATTTAAAATACCTTAATCGATTGAATATTTTCATACTAAACGACAAGCTATTACGCGCATGGTACGTGAGAGATAATGAACGTTGTTTGTTGATCGTGGTCCTTTAAAAGCAGTGATTCTCATTCATCGTTTTTCGTTAAAAAAAAATGCAACGTACAAGTTTATTCATACGATCAACTTATTCGATATACAATATTTTGACTAGTTTTAATATTTTGTAGAAAAAGATTAAAAAGAAAAACATATATATATACATATTTTTTGTTTAATTATTATTATTATTATTATAATCATTATTTTTTAATTTTTGTAACGCGAATATAAATAATGATGCGATCGTTAAAAATTGTTTGGTAATATTTTTTAACTAGAACATGGAAATCGTTGCGATGACGATGTTTAAAAATAAAAAAAAGAAAATACTTTGGTAGCAGTATTGAATGATAATTTGCATAACATAAGCTTCTATTATTATATATGTACGTGCACACATATATACACGTATACATATAAATATTTCAAACGTGGGTGTATCATACAGAACAGTATTCATCGTACAAGGTGACGCATGCTAGTTGTATGCTAATTTTAATAGGATACAAAACTTTGGGTAATCATTCCTTTTAATAGTCGTGCAACGTTTTTAATTAATTGCTTTCCTTTGGATAGATATAAACACACACTAGTTTTATTTTATATATATATATTCGTATTGATTAATGGAAGATGAATCAACTAGAAAATTGCAACAACAATTGTAAATCTAACGCTGATTTAATCGTTTAAAAAAGAAAAAAAGAAACAAAAAAATCAATTACCGTTTTCCTTTAGTTATTTTTCTTTTCTTTTGAACAAAGTGTTACACAATATTATATA